TTTTTTATTCAATGATAGAAACTTAGTTTGCTAAGTATAGGCATAGCAAACATAAGAGGGTGACAAATAGATTTGGAATACAAATCGTAATGAGTTTCTTTGAATTTTTAGGTGTTCAAAGAGAGGTTTCCATTCATCTAACTTGGGTTGGGAGAATGAAATAGAGATTGAAATTTGATTCCTATGATTTGCTAATGTTTTCCTAAACTCTCTAAAAGTTATTTTAGAACTTTAATATAAGTTTAGAAAAGGCATCGAGTAAGAAGGTTGGAGTGTTTCCTATAAATTTTAGGCTAAGAAAAATGAGGGATTTTCTACAATTTTTTGCTTTATAGAAACCGAGGGGAAATGCAACTTAAGAGTTACAAAATTGAAAAGATTTCTATGAACTTTTAGTGCTCAAGATGGATAATCACTTGCATAATTTTGGCTAAATAGATAAAGAAGACTAGAATTTGGTCTTATGTGTAGGAGATTACTTATTGGTTTTGTGTTCTAACAAATGAGGTGGATGACTTAGAATTTGGTTCTAAGATCAAATAATCCATGTAATGGGACATTTTGAGCCTTGGGGAGGCTCTAAAATGCCACACACAAGGGCAAAAAAAAATTGAAAGAGAGCTCCCTATTTTTTTATTCAAGTGTTTGAGACTCATTTGAATAGGAGAGACATCTGAATGCCTCTAAATAACTTCTAAAGATCAATTTTTATCATGATCTAAGAAAAACCTAAGAGTATGCATGAGATGGTTTATCATTTTAGGAGATTATCAAATGCTTAAATTACTTATCAATGTCCTTAACCTATCAACTTGCAAATTGCGCCAAATATGCTTAGATAATTTCAATGTGAAGTAGGATATAATCTATAAGCCTTTGAAAGCCATAGAATACTCCACTTTTACTTTACAAGTACTTACAAATTTAATAAACATGTTCATGATTTTGCAAATTTTGGACATGCAACAGTCTTAGCAAGTGACCCACAACATGCATTCCTTTAGGGTTTGAGTGATGCAATCTAAATCATGCAAACTAAATTTAAGGAAATATCAAAAGTGAATTCAAATATTTTTATTCATCATGGGATTTAAAACATGAACTTGAGGGTTCATGAAAAACCCAACCGTTTGTTTGTAAGCCTTCAAAACCAATTGAATTCATTTTAGACATTCAACAAATTTAAGAGAAATTACAAATGCTAACGGAGCAAGATTTTCAAATGAACAACAATCCTAACAAATAGGGGTGAACACTTATATTATATGCCAATTTTGTCATGACATGAGCATTGGATTGGGGATGAGTGCAATTTGAAACACATTGACATTTGATTTAGGATCAAAAGACAACATCTACCCTAGGGCATGATCGTAGGTGACGGCTAGGCATGCAATAGGAATGTGAATGAATGAATTTGGAGGTTATTGGAGGTTATTGAACGTCGATCCAACAACCCTACGCGCATTAAAATCCTCCCTCACACAGCTTTAATCAAACAACTGATTAATTTCCCATCACCCTTGCTGGTTTGGAGGAGCTAATAGGCACAAGAATCAAGCAAAGAGGAAGAGAAAGCTACAATCCATAGTGATTTTTTAGTAGTTGTAGGAAGCAGGGAGTATAATAATGGCTACAAAGACGTGTACCCAACAGTTGCCCTTGCTCTTCTCTAGCCATTGGATGCAAATTCTTGATTTGGAAAGGTTTAGAGTGATATTTAAAATCTAGAAAAACTAAAGGCTGCACTAAATAAGCTGATTTGGTTTTAAATGAACTCGATTTGAGTCGGGTCGACACAAAATATGTGTCAACAATGCATTGGCATGTTGCTTTCTTTTGCCTTTATTATTAGTAAAGGTGAATTCTTTTTCATCATTAACATTATATGAGAATGCAATAAGCACTCAACACTTGTTGGTACTAGGAGCTTTATTTCACTTCTTTGAATAACCTTCGGATTTTAACAATTTCACTTTCTAAAACTACACCACTTAGCTGAATAACTCCTAGAATGTCATGATTGAAGCCATGCATAGGTATTGGACCATTAAATCACCAATATTTTTATTAATAATTAGAGAAGATGCTCTTTTACATATTTTTCACATTTCATACTTATGTCGAGCCAACAGGTGATATTATGCATCGATTCCCCTTTCTTCATTTTTATATTAGAGTGATCTATGTTTTGTCAATCACTTTATGAACATGCTTTCTATCTAAGAAAACATTTTTTTGCCAATTGGAAGTTCAACATATCATATGAAAAGCAATCTTCTGAGTTTTAATAACGAACTGGCAAGAGCAAACATCCATTCCCCTTGTATTATTTTAAGTCGGGTTAGGTTCAATTAGATTATCATTCATAGATAACGCATTGAACTTAAGGATGGAATGCCCCTTAGGATATGGTACCACATCATACTTAGTTGGATATGGATGACCCTTACCTACCAATTTTCTGTTTGCTCCAAAGCTATGGCTTTTTTAATTTTCTCATTAATAACGCTTCAAGCTGAGTCATAGTTAATGCACAAAGGTTGTTTGGCTTTCTTGAGTAATTGATTGGGCTGCCTCCATGCTTATCTAGCGAGTAGGTAGTAATGAATTTGCATTCGTCTTAGCTAGTGAGCCATCAAAGTCATAAAAGTTCATTCTGGAAGCTATTTTGCACATTTGCACAAGTTCTTATATATTTGCATTCACAATTTCGGTGTTATTCATGCATTTTCTTTGTTAATTATTTTCCAATCGTCATCTTATTTTGGTCCATACAGCATTTTACTCAACATTTGAGCAAGTTTTTGGGTAGATTTCATCAGCGCCTCCACGCCATACCTGCAAATGGGGTACTTGAAGCATGCTAGATATTCCCACCGTGTCAACTGTCAAGAAAGCAATGTGGTAGGGGTGCTATATGGAAAAATTATTAGGTGTGGAGTGCGCACCGTCCGCACAAGCACTGGGTACCTAGCGGTACCCAGCGGTACCCAGTGGTACCAAGTGCGGGTACCACTAGGTACCCAATGCTTGTGCGGACGTGATAGGAAACACTTGGATTTCCAAGTGTTTCTCACCAAAACCAAGTAGATCCAATGTAAAACTGCTGTCCACAGCAGAAAAACAGCCAAAAACAGTAGGAAAGCAGGGAAAAACTGCAGAAAAATCAGAGAAAATACTTGTATTTTACTAGTAGTTGCAAGGAAAATAGCAAAGATACAATTAATCCTCAATTCGAGAGGAGGATCGATCTCTCTCAAATCTCTAGACGCCGCTAGAGCCCAAAGAAAACCTAAATCTACGAGATCTCAAATTTCAGCCAAATTCAAGATGCTCAACCCCTGGGAAAATCTACTATTTAATGCATACAATTCAAAAGGAATTCCCTAAACAATCCCTACAATCAATTTCCCTCCTAAAATCCATTCAAAAACCTTCCTATTCGGGCGTGCGGCTGAATCGGAGGCGTGCGTGCGGAAATGAGAGGCGGAGCTTCCGCCTCGTTATGGCTGGGCCGGTCCTGTGCGGACCAGCTGGACCGGTCCACTGGACCGGTCTAACAGGACGGTTCTCCTCATCCACACTCCGCACCAAATAATCTCTCTACTATATGAGACATCACAACCAAGAGACTGTCCCCAATCATGTTAAGAAAGATATAAATGGGTAATGCTTGAGGCGCTTGGACGAGCATTTTTCACATCCAACATGCCAAAAAAGTTGTATAAGAATATTTTTTTAGGTTCCCTACCTTAAACAACTCAGTAAGAGGTCAAAATAAACTCAAGGTCGTGTCAATAAAGATGCATATGGAAAGCAGGCAAGGTGGTAAAGTTGCTTTGTATACCTTGCATGACACTAGCAACACATTTTTGAGGTGGAGGGAGAGTTCAGGGAGAGAGAGATGAAAAGGAAAGACAGAGAGGGAAAGGAAGAGAGAAATTGGTCAAGCTCCAATGTCAGGAAGGTGATGAGAAAAGTTGAAAAATATGGGGATTTATAAAAAAATTTATACTTTACAAATATTTTTTATAAGAAATGGGGTACTAGATGCCCCGCATACGACCCTTTCAATGTTTAATAAAGGCACCAATTATGCACCTCTTTGGCACCTATGAAAGAGCATATCTTCTTTTTTAATGGTGTACTTGAGGCTAAATGAGCCCATTTGGTTGATGTCGCCCCACTTGCGTGGTCTCTTACATTTTATCTAGCAACTCTTTTTTTTTAATGTAGTTTATTAATATTAATATGTGTTTGTATATGCACATATATATTATTTTAACCTTTTTAAATGCATGTGTGTGCGATCCTTCAAATCTCATTTCTCGCAAGGTCAAGTTTTTTTTTGTCCCATTCGTGTGGTACAAGGGGAGGTTTATTTTGAACATCTTGGTGTTCTAAATGCATCGAGATTGTCCATTTTGTGGGATGAGCATTCATTTTAGTTTTTATAAAATAGAACATTTCAGGTCTTTTTTTTTTAAACTATGCCCATTTGTCATTGTTGTCTCCTTGTTCGACCCAAATTGGCTTATGATTCACAGTAAGACGAAAAAGAAAAAACAGAATAGAGGGGTCAAATTTTACAGAGAAAAATCTTGTTGAATTTTTTAGAAAACAAGGGATCTGACAGTTGATATAAAAAGTGACAAGGAGCATCATCCATGGGCAATTACAGCTTTTAAATCGAAGGGATCCATCTGCAAACCCATAAACAATAAGAATCTAATGGAGTTTTCTTAAGAAAACAGAAGGTCTAACGCCTTAAGGCAAGGCAAACATAAAAACAATCAGAAATTTGTTCAAATTAAATCATATGATGCATTCTTGGCTCATGAGGACAGTGCACTTGGCGAAGTTAGGCCCATTAAAAATTATGATGACTTTGAATTGTAAAAAGTGTAGACAAGAGAGTAACATGCTATATATATATATATATATGATTATTTGTATATATCAAGGATAAAAACATCATATAACCGAGTTAACTGAACCTCATTATGACTTTGAAAAGCAAAGGATGACCTTCCTCCACGAAGATCCCAAGCATATATGATGCCTTGTTGATTAGCTCCAAAAACAATCTGTAAAACCTTTAAAAAAGTGAGGCTCTTCAAAAATAAAATAGAACAGCATTATCATTAGCTGTCAACATGTGAACCATTCCGCTACAAAGAACAATTATTATTCATCTGACAGGCATATACAGTATTTTCACATTGATAAAATAAAATTTTGAGAGATAAATGGACTGTAAGGAGCCTACTTAATTATGTCCAAAAAAGGGCATCATGACCAAGAATAGTTAACAGCCGTAATGGAAATAAGAGAAAACGTAGGTACACATCTATAAAACATAGTCCATAATTATGAATATGGCATATAAATTAATGGCTTAAAGTAATTTATTTCTGACCCGATCTTCAATATCTAATTCAATGCTGTTAAGAGGGCTCTTAGAGCTAGAACTCAGTCTAAGACATGAAAGATTGCTGAGACGCCTATCCCATATATAAATAGAACCATCTAATCCAGATGCAAGCAACCTACAAAAGATATAAGAATGGAAGAATAATTAGAATTTTGGAAGGCAAAAGAAACCTGATGGAAGAAAAAGACTAATGTTCAGCATTATGCCATATAGATAAAGCTTTCATAATAACGACAATAAGGGAGAAGAAAAAATATACTATGCAGCACCAATTCTTCCCAAAAAAATTAAAATATTTCTTGGCGCCTATGAAGTCAACAAATATATAGGACATAAAATATAAATGATCGCCTACAAAGCTTAAGAGGCTATCTGGTTTGATGTACCTAAAATCCTTGTATAGTAAATTCTTGCAAATTATATGGCCCCGTGATTTGACCCATTTACTTTGCATTATCAGATTTACTTCAGTAATTTGATTCAAACCAAAAGCAAAAAACTACTTAGATGTAAATAATCTATTTTCACCAACCCAAATAGTCCCTACGTATTTTAAGAGCCAATTTCAAGCCTTTATTTATCTTGATTAATATATTTGGCTTTGGCTTATTTCTCCAATATTTCTCAGGTCACTTCAGCGAAAAGAATGCAATGAAAATAAATGTCTTATTGATTAAAAGACCACTTTGACACAACATGCAAATAGACAGAAAAAGAAGAGGAAGGTTAGGATGCAGAGTTATTTCATTGTTGTTAGTGCTTTGAATTGAGTAATTACTGGCTATAAATATTCTTATAAAAGTTATTCAAAGTTAGGTTTCTTGGTGAAAGCTTTTTTTTAAATGATAAAATTATATACATGAGACATCCAATGAAATAAATGAAAATTTCTGACAGAAAAAATGTTTTGAGTATAGAGGATATAGTATTAGCATGCTAAAGATTGAGCATATGATATTGAATTTTAACATATGTGATAATAATAATAATCAATAAATATTACTAGAAAATAAAACGATTCCTAAATGTGATTAGTTAAGTAACTTGGATCTATAATATGGAAGAATGAAGATATATAGGAATTTTTTTTTAAGAAAATCATTTTATAATTAATTAGGCAAAAACAAAACCAAAATAAAAAAAATTATGAGAGATGAAAGTCATTAGCATAGATAACGACTGGCCTTGGTGAGCTTGCGCCCACCCTATCTAGCACCCATTTGGCGGCTATGTGCATCGAGTATGTAACTTGGGTCACCTATCTAGCGCCCATTTGGCCAGTTATATGGATCGATTATGTGACTTGGGTCAGGTCAATGACCTAAATTAATGACTGACACTGGCCAGTTGTTCACTCTAATCACGATTACATATATAAAAATATCATTTGTAATATATATATATATATATAAAATGATATTATAAATAAGTAAATTTATAAACTTAAATATAGAGTATTTATAAAAAATTAAAAAAAAAAACTTTCTACAGATCTATGGAAGACAACTTAATAAAGAAACAAATAATTACAAAATCATGCATAATTGCTCTAATATAATCATTCCTAAATCAGCTAACTAAATATGGAAGGAGATCGGCGTGATCTAGGTGAGCCTCCCACAGATTCCCATCCTAGCCGTGGGATCAAAATGCCAAGGGATGGATGGGATTTAACATGTGAGTCTCTCACGGATTCTCATCCTAGCCATGGGAACAAAATGCCATGGGACGGCTAAGATTTAACAGACACAAATAATCTTAAGATCTTGTCCCAAACTTTTCATAAGCATAAACCAATATGATTAATTAACCCTCCCGATAATGAAAGAGAATTTTCAATTAAGACTAGTCATGAGATGGGCACTAAGTACCGAGAGTAGTATTACAATTTGAAATTTACCACCTTGCATTTTAAGTGGATGATTGAGGAATAATAGCAAACCATATCAAGATCCATGATTCTATCATCCTGGGGTTATTATGATCTTCTACTTAGAGGATGTAGTCAACCCAACCTAACCAAACGATTCTTGTTGGCATCCATGAGTTGCATCGTCCAAAGGTACCTTATAGACCTGAGGTGCATGTTTGTCAAAGGGGATAAATTTGAGTTGATCTTAGCCAACAAAGACCTTTGTGTCATCTTAAGTGCACCCGATGATTCATTATTCAAGAATTTTTTTGCCATTGGGGAACTTATATGTAATACCCAAAATACAAGTAAATAAAATGAAATTTTTATTAAGAAAATTTTTATCTTATTTTAGCAATTATTATTATTAATTAAATCAAAGTATTTATATTAAATAATAAGTTCAATTTAATTAAAATTCTTCCCTAATTATGAATATTTGAAGTCAACTAAATATCAAATTAGAAAAGGTTGGCCTGTAATTAACCGGATGGGGGCCGGTTCAACCTAACCGGCCACCCGTTTCTATTAATAGCCGCGACCCAACAAAGGGTCGCTACAGTTCTTTTTCGCGCGAACAGAGAGGGGCGAGCGGATGGGTTTCACGCGAGAGCGAGGTAAGTTCTTTCTTTCACCAATTTTAGCAAATGATTGTCTTCTAAGATAAGAAATAGTGATTCATGTTCATTCTTATCGTTATCAGAGTGTTATTTTGGGAGAATTTGCAACGAAGGAGAGGAAAAGACCAAGGAAAAAGAAGGAAAAAGGTTTGTTGAATTTCTTTCGGATTTTCGTATAAATTTCTTCTTTTACTTCGTTTAAAGTGAGCGATATGTTCCTTGAAGGATAAGAAAGCAATTGAAGCGAAGAAAAAGGAAATTGGGAGAGAGGATTTTGGGAGTTTGAGAAGTTCCCATTTGTAAGTGAAACTCTCCTTATATAATTTTTATTATATTTTGTTATGGGATCATAATTTTAAATTTTATATGAAAGTTATTTTTTGAATTTTAGGGTTTTAGAAAGTGAAAGATCAAGTCGTAGTGTTGATCCCGCGAGAATTCACCAAGAAGAGAAATTGATTCAAGGGAGGATCAAGCATTGAAGACCTGAAAAGTTCAAAGTGGGTAAATTATATTGTTTTATGTTTTATTCATGATTTCAATTTTCTAAGTAAGTGAATAAATTTTTGTATTATAAAATGTTAAAGACATAAATTCTTATGATTTTATAGTCTTAAGAAAGAATTCATCTGTTATGAAGGTTTAAAAGTTTATGAAAATGAAAAATAATATTTATAGAGATACATGTAAGATATGTTGTATGGAATAGTAATAATAAGGATGAAAATGAGAAAAGAAAAGAAAAGAGAATAAAGGAAAAGATATTGAAAACGACATGAGTTCACCCCCTTATGGTACTGGCTGGGGACGCCGTACTCGTGCACGAAAAAGGAAAAGAAAAATGCTATGGAAATGAAAAAGGTAATCAAATGGAAAAGGTTGTACCTTTGGGTACTTTGAGACGGTGCTCCTGTGCAAATCAAATGGGAAAAGGAAATAAAAATGAAATATTAAAGATAACAAATATTTTAATTGTTTCAAATGAAAATATCCGAAGAAGTATAAATCAATGAAATGAAAGAAATAAGGTTAATAAATGATAGAATATACATTAATCAATATTTTAAATAGTTACCCACTGAGTTTACTTAGTAAACTCAACCCACGAGTTTAAATGTTTCAGGTAAGTTCCTAAAGAAGAAATGGCTGAAAGAGAAGAACATGTTTACAGAAGACGACGTGCAAATGACAATAGGTAATCTACATATTGTGTTTTAGTTGTTCTTCAGTACAAATGAAAAAGTAGTATAATGTTTAAGAAATTTTATCGTACGACTTTTCGTACCCGCCTCGTTAGATCGAGCATCCGGGCCGGGTCGTGACATGGCCATAAAATGATATGATACCTGGGCTGCATGCGGGGCAAAAGGAATCCCATATATGATACATGCATAGCAGCAGGGGCAAAAAGAACCCCTAAAGAGACAAAAGAGACTTCTATATAGTTCAATAGAGATAATATCATATTATTCTGGGCTCAATTGAGCATTATTATGAAAATTAACTATATGAAAATGATGGTCAAATCCTTGGAAGACTAATTATGATATTCTATATAAAATTCAAATGAATTAAAGGATGATCCTAAATATGATTTTTATGTTGTTTTACAGATATTTTTGAGTTGATCTAATTATGTTATTCACTATAACCTTGCATTTAATTTCATATTTAAATTGCATAACTTTAAGAGCCTCAAAACTCACTATTTTTTTATATTGTTTATTGTTACAGAGAAAAGTAAGGAAAAAGTTGAAACTAATTAAGCAAGTTATGGAATATTTAGATTTTTTGTTTAGCAATGTTTGTGATATCTTCTAGTGAGGTATGTAACTTGTCAAAATGAGGTAATGTATTTTGATTTTCTTAGTAGCTTTGTAAGTATTTGTGTGATGTAATTGGGATTATTTAGATGCTTCTGTTTAGTTATTCAAAAAATATATTGTTTAGTGGTTGGATTATATATAAGTAGTCAAGTGATGAAAAGTATTAGATGTTGAAAATTATATTTAGTTTTGTGACACTACGATATTGGTAAGGGGTATCGTGGGGTGTGTATGTTTTGGCTATGACTGCAATTTAATGGTATTATTTCACGATAAAATCACTCGATTATAGGGCACCAATCATAATTGTTTATCAGTGGTACCATTTGAGAACCAAACCACCACTTAAAAGACTCGTGACGCATCATTATTAAAAAGAGACTGGTTATGAATGAATCATATATATACGTTCAACAAGACATTCACTCGACTGGTTATGAATGAATCATATATATACGTTCAACAAGACATTCACTCTTCATAAGCTCAGATTATTCTCAATTTCAACACCCTCGATGAATGGTTGGGGATAATGGATGTATTTTGCTTTAAACTTTAAAAGTAGATTTCACTTAAAATATTTTTAGATTTCACAAACTTTTAGATTTTATATATAATCAAGGATTTAGGCGCGAAATAATTTGCAATGAGATTTTAGAGCATTTTTTACATATAGAGTACTATCTTGTTGAGATTCACGTTCAGCATGAATAACATTGGTGTGACACTGAAGTCACTTAAATTATTTATATTTGTAACATGGAAAATTAATTAAGAAGATGGCCATCATCAAGGTTTTAAGTAATTTTATTTTGTTATTTGAATCGTGCCAACTTTTTATGCTTGTCAATCGAGTAAAAGCTTTGTGAATTATCATATGAGCCATGAACTTGGAGAGTTTAAATTTTGTAATAATTTTTTTATAAAAGGGTATTAAAGGTCTAATGCAAATGTAAAACCAAATATCTTCATAGATTTCACGATCGTATATTCATTCATTCATAAAAATCTTGTCAACTTTAGTCCTTTCAATGAGGAAAATCGGACTTTAAACTTTAAATTGATCTTTATTTTAGCTCACACATCATTCTTAGACCTTAGATTTACAAACTTCATGCATTGGTCAAAACACATACAGGAAATTCAGTCTTCATTTTTAACCTGCACAAACATTCTTTCCAAAAAGTAGGAGCTTAATTTATTAGTAAGAGCACATACAGGTATTACAAATCAAAAAAGATATAACTTGCTTTAAACTGCAAACAGCATTCTCAAACTTTGTATTCAAGTGTTAGGAAATTTGTCAAAGCATATAAAGAAAATTTTGAATTTTCTTAAAATGGTGTGCAGCCTTTTCATGTATTTACAAAAAGAACATGCACGCTTTTTGATCCACTTTCACAATGTATTCACATTTTCCAATATATTTGTGTACTTTTCGAAGCGGTTACGTGCTTTTTTAGGCAAGCGCATGCATCCAAACGTAATGATGTGCTTCTCAAGGTGGTTGTACATTTTGTGAGAAAGTGACATGCTTCTCAATATGGTTATATACTTCTCGAGGTAATGGCATGCTGCTCAATATGGTTATATACTCACTAACAATAATTGTATTGCAGGCAAGGGAAAAAAACCAGTGGGGTAGTAGGCAGGACAGTTGAATACTCTTTTTTTGTACATATACTTTTGGGTGTACAAAGAGATTTGAAAAGAGATATACATAAGAGTTGTACAAACACTTTTGGGTATGTAAGTATATTTTTAAAGTTTAAGTAAAGCTGTGTAATTCTTTTGAGATGTACAATTTATTTGAAGTATATTCTCTGTTTAAAAATGCGCAATAAGAGGCGCGCCTCTGCGCAATTCTGTCCAAAAGTACCTCGAGGCGCACGCAATTTGGACACTGATTGAGGCGTATGCCTCACCCTGTGTGAGGCGCGCCTCAATTGCGCAATTATGGGTGAGGCGTACGCCTCATCCAAATGGTCTTACCTACTTAAAATCAACCATTAAAAAAGCGGACGAGGCGTCCGCATTGAGTTGTGTATTCGCGTATAGGATTAGGGCTTCCTGTGAGAATTGAAAGGCGAACTAGAGGCGAAGCCGTAAGGGAAATAGACGAAGCTGTGAGGGAAGGAGACGAAGCCGTGAGTGTAGGAGATGAAGTCGGAAGGAGACGACGCAGAGAAAGAAACGAAGCCGAAGTTATGAGTGCAGGAAACGTTCAGGCATCGGTTAGGTCGGAAGAGCAGGTACGCAATGTTGTGGCCTTGACTTTGACGTGCAGTAAGGAAAGCTTGAATAACTCTTGATTCGGCTTTCTTTCATTCGTCCACTCAGTACAAGCTCGGTACCGCTCAATACATGCTCGGTACCGCTCAGTACATGCTCGGTATCGAACTAGTACCGCTCGGTACTGAGCGGTACATGCTCGGTACTGAGCGGTACATGCTCGGTACTGAGCGGTACATGCTCGATACTGAGCGGTACATGCTCGGTACTGAGCAATACATGCTCGGTACTGAGCGGTACATGCTCGGTACTGAGCGATACATGCTCGGTACTGAGCGATACATGCTCGATACTGAGCGATACATGCTCGATACAGAGTTTTGCTGTAAGAGTGTTGGGCCTCACTTATTCTTCTTCTGGGTGTGAGCGAAACTGGAGTACATATAGTCAAGTGCAAACAAAGAGAAGAAATCGGCTATCTACACTCAGAATGAACTCCCTCGTATATATAATGCACAACAAGAGGTTAAAAGATAGGAGGTTGAGGAATAAGGGGTTGAAGGATGATGAGGACTCGTTGGTGTGTGATGATGTGTCATCTGATAATGAGTGGTTCATAGATGATGAGACAGATTTGCCATTATCAGACTTACAGCTAGAATATCTAAATGTGGATGTCTTGTGGGGTGAAGCAGATCAAATGGGCACATCTACTAGTACCACACCACACACATCCACTAGCTCTGCAGCACAACAATCAAGTAAAGGTATTCCACAACTTCTTATATGCTATCGCAGTATATTTATAACAAGTGAGCAATTAACATGCTAATGATCTTTTCACTTATTGAACAGTGAAGAGAAAAGTGAGTCATATTAAAGATGATGATGACATGACATTCATATATACAATTGGAGAAGAAGATTCCCTTGAAGACCCATTTAGTGATGGGATATGATTGAATTTTAAATGTTTTTTGTACTTTGGGAGTTTTGTTAAACTAATATTTTGTGATTTTGTACTTTGGGACATGATTTTATTACATCTACTTTCTTACTTTCCACTATTTTCATATATCATTTAGATGTTTTTATTGTAAGATGCAATATTGTCATTATTTTCCTGCTAAAACCCTTAATTTTTCATTTACGCAATTCTATGTCCGTGAGGCTTACGCCTCAGTCCGCCTCGAGGCTTACGCCTCGCCTCACGGACGAAAACCGCCTCTAGGCTTATTTACGCAATTTTAAACCTTAGGTATATTACATATTTTGTTGTTAAGCATAAAACTTGATATGTTAGGATATTCTAATTAGGTTACTTCTTACTCCCTGATTCTGATAGAGGTAGTTCATAATAGGTGTTAGTAAAAATGAGATATTTTCATATTATTATTGTATGTTACAATCTAGATTGACTGGAAGGGGTCAGAATGGGATGTGACAAAAAGTGTTGAACATCGTCAAAGACGACATCAAAGGTGAACAACTTCGCCTCTTCTCTCTTTCTCTCCGCCAAATAAGATCGCATAGACTCTTCTTCTTCTTCTTCCTCTCTATCGAGCAAAATTCACACAAATCATCCCCCTCTTCTTCTTCCATGCCAAATGAAATCACTAGATTGATTCCTTTCACTCAAATGAAATCACACAACCTGCTTTCTTCTTCTTCCTCAGTGTTAAACGAGAGTAGCATGTAGCAGCACGAACCCACCGTTTTCCTTCTTCGTCTCATGCCTACTTGTTCACCCGGTCTCTCTTTTTGCTACAAGACATCACGTCTCTATTAAGAGATGGAACTGCAACCACTCGTGTTGGTCGCAACCTTCTATGGGTGATGAGTCCCACCTATTTGTTCGCTGGCTCCTACTTGTTTGCTTCCATTTAATTAGGTACCACAAGATGTCAATTTATTTGAACTGACCAGTTTAGACCAGCCCTTAACACATGGATAGAATGTTTTAAAACCTATTTACCAAGAGTTCCAGAAATAGAAAGAAAATATATCTCCATTCACAAAGGATCACCAAACTTCAAGCAAGATGCAATAAATGGAATTCTTGGGGATCTCCTCATCCTTCATAAGGACTCTTTCTTCTTTGTTATCAAGTTATATTTAATAGGGTATTCTAATTTTTTTCTTAATCATCTGACCATTCTTTGTGATTTTGGCACGTTGTGCTCCTTTCATTGACTGAGTTATAAAAAAAATTACTTCGAAAAAAGATTAATGCAAACCTAAAAACTAAAAAGATGAATAGCATTAGGCAAATGTCCTATTTTGAAAATAAAACTGGCATAATCTAAAATACTCTCAAATAAAGTAAGAGAAAAAGGAGTACATATTTCGGTGTCAAATAATCAATAACCTGGACTTGTCAGGGGAAGCAAACGCAATATCGGATAAGCCATTAAAAGCTTCAGGCACAGAAAAGTTCAGCTTCCCTTTCTCAAAAACCTACAAAGAGAGGAAATAAGAGATCACAAGACATTCAGTTACAAATTGTAATATAACAACTTATAAAAGGAATGTTGCATAAAAGAAACTTTAACATAGCGACTAGACTAAAAGTTCTTCTATAAACGATAAACATTTGGAGGAAACCCCTGATTGTCAAGGCTCTAAACTAAATTATCTTAATTTTGAAAATAATAAATTTTTAAACCTTATTTAGCCCTGAAAAAGGTAGAAAACATGCTGAAAAATCCAAAAGAAGGGTCAAAATTACAAATAGGAAAATAGTTTACATGTTTGTCAAGGCCCCTCGTTGAACAAAAGTAGGAAGCTTGGAAAACAACGCAAGATGCTTACTTCAATGGGTTCGGAAGACACATAACCAATGTCATAAAGAAGAACCGAACTATGCTTTCTAGATACACAGCAGACCTGCAGAAGCAAAACTCAGTACAAAAGATAACATTTTTACCTACTATTGACAGAACATTACACAACAGTGACAGTGATTTGACAAAACTCAAAGTAAAATTAAAAGTGTAAAAGAAAAAACCTCTATAAATCCTCTACCATTCATGTGTATTCATAAAGAATAAACGTCACCATCAGAGAAGATACCTTGTCAATATAAAATATAACAAAATAGAAACAATGTTCTCTCTACATGATGAACCTATCACCTGGCATAATATTAATTTGGTTTTTTACATTACAGTACTACATAAAAATAACAAGTATGTCAATCTAGCCTGGATTCTAACTCAGCAACCAAAACAATAAAATGTTCATCATAAATTACTGCAAAAACAACTGATGTGATAACAACAAATAGATGGATAAGGATTCATACAGCAGACCGCAGATAATTGAAATAAGTCTAATTATAATGAAAATGAAACAAGTTGAGGGGTATCTCATGCAAATGGAATTCATTAATAGGAGATGCAATATCTGCTGCAAAAACAAAACTAAAGATAAATGCCTGAATACAAATTTCAAACCTCATCTTGATTTGCTGGGTTCCACCGAACAGCATCTAATGACTTAGAAGTACAAATGTGAAGCACACATTTTGATTCATCCTCACACAAACCTATCAAAAACTCAGTGGATGAGAAATCAAAGATAATCCTCAGTATCATAGCATTACAAAAGGGATTTAAAACATAAAAACAAGAAAAACAGAAAAAACAACTTTCCCCCGTCTATAGCAATAGAAGAAATAAATAAACCATCCTCATGAGAAACATAAAATAAAAGTTCTATCAACAAGATTTGATTTGCACATAGAAACTGAACATTCTTTCCGACTTTCTTACAAAATTTTATAGCAAAGAAGTGCGTATTGGAAGAGAGAAGTGTAAATTCAGAAACTTCATACTTGGTGATGCATTTATATTTTGTCTTATTTTATTTTGATGTAATGTGAACACTATTAGTTGTGTTTTATGTTTTTTTTTAAAGCTATCCAATGATGGAGAACATCCAATGATCATGGTAGGATGTGCTTGGGCATGGCAAGGCTTGGGTTTGCTTGCATTTGGGTCCTTCTTGTCCTTTGGGCTGTTTGCTGCATTTCAGTTTGAGCCTTGGCTGCTCTCGGGTTGGGCTTTGGTTGCTTGGTGTTGAGCTTAAAAAGTTGGGTTCTACTTGGTGTTAGCTCACTAATGCTTGAGTTGAAGTTTAGCTCATTATTTAGAGGAGTAATTACACTTCCTAGCTCATAAATTAATAAAGGTATGTGGAGTGGAGCTTGTCTCTTCCTATTCTTGTATCTCTTTGGTTTCTTCCATTAGAGTCAATGCTATGGCGGGTTGTCTTTTCGCTTCTCTGCCCCGTTTCCTGTGTTGGCTCCTCGGTTCTCTCTCTGGCTGGGTTTCCATGGCTTGCTGGTTGGGTTTCCGTGGCTTGCTGGTTGGGTTTCCCATGGCTTCTCTCCCTGTTTTATGTGCAGAATATGAGGGCTGTTGTGGTGTCTTTTGGCCTTTCATTTCCCCAAACCTGATTGGTTTTGGTTGGAGGTGTTATGACTATTTGGCTTTTTTCTTTTGCTTATAAATTGGAGATATTTTGAGAAGGAAAAGGTTGTTGAATATTTGAGCAAAGTCTCTACTAAAAAACATGAGGGTTTCTTCTCTTGGAAAAGATTGAGAGCTTGTTTCACCCCCTTTCCTCCTCTTTATTTCGTCTTGGCTTCTAATCTCTTCTTCTCTACGCAAGTTCCACTCCACCTGTATCCTTCTTAAGCATTTGGAAGTTGTTTGTTGGCTGATTTTAGGAGACATTTGCCGGAGGAGTTTGGTAGGATGTTGGACCCTTTTGCAGTGGTAGACCCTCGATTTGCAAGCCTAAGCACTATATATCTTCCTACTCTCGTAGCATGTGAGAAAACCGCTAGACGGTTGTTCTGAGGAAATCTTTTTTATGTTATTATTTTGTTTTATTTGATTTGACTTTTTGTTAATCCGGATGTTTGTTTGATTGTTTGCAAGCTAAAGTGAATCGAGTTTGATTTTATTTTGTCCTTTTGTTCTCCAACTTGGCTTTTCTTTCTAGTTTGCATGCATCACTTGGCTATGGTCCTTTCAGACACAAGAGACTTTACAAGAAAAAGAGAGAAAAAAGGTTCAAAATCTGTAATATGCATCCCAAGCGCAATTAAATAAGTATTCCATCGAGTCATAATGAATACTGTGTATGTAGAGCAAATATTATCACTGCACAACTTCCCAAATTGTTGTAATCAATTCAGGCTTCATTTGTTAATATTGCGATGCAGGACTATTCCACGCATCCAGCTCATGGATGCTATGACCTTTTTGCGGGTGCAGTGAAGCCCTTCTGTTACGATTGAATCTTATTCAGGGGCTATTGCAATTCTTATACATGACTTGGAAGTGTACATTCACCGAGCATTGCGCCAGACATTGCAAATGTGGAGACTTTTTAAAGGCTTTTTAAAGGCTTTGATGCCACATATTTGAATTGTATTATTGATAAAATTGAAGTTTGAATTATCTGAAACTAAATTGGGTTGATCACTTGATCTTATGCCAATCATATATATTAGCCTAAAAATGTGATATCTATAAATACATAGTCCAAAACTTGCAATGGGAGAAATGTGGCTTGAATTAAATTTCTCTTTTCAATTATAATCTTGTGAGTGCAAGTTTAATGTATGATTCCCTTGAGTGTAGTATAAGTGTAAATAGTAAATACCTAATCTAATTATTTCGCTGTACCAGCATGAGGCCTACTATTTTATCATTTTCGTGAATTCTTTCCTTTACATAATTTCTTTAAATAATGTATTATTTTGCTAGAATTCTTGATTTTGTCGAAATTTGATACAACATGAATTCTAATTTGTTCAGAGTGATGGTGAAATAGATGAGGATATTATCAGCAGAATTCAAGTTGGATGGTTGGAGTGGAGGAATGCATCGGGCTTATTGTGTGATAAAAAAATACCCCTCAAACTTAAGGATTCTATAAGATGGCGGTGAGACCTGCAATGCTTTATGGTGCAGAATGTTGGCCATTAAAAGAGAAGCATAATACTAAGTTAAGTGTGGCAGAGATGAGGATGCTCAGGTGGATGAGTGGCTTTATCCTTAGAGATAGGATACGAAATGAGCATATACGTAAAAAGGTTGGAGTGGCTCCCGTAGAAGATAAGATTAGAGAGAGTCAACTTAGATGGTTTGGTCACATAAAACGGCGGCCTTCCGATGACCCGGTTAGAAAAGTAGAGGTATTAGATTTGACTTATGTTAAGAAAGGTAGATGCAAACCTAAAAGGACTTGGTTAGAAAATATTAGAAATGATCTTTCTTTATTATATTTAAACGAGAATTTAACTTTTAATAGGACACAATGGAGAAAAAGGATTCATGAAGCCGACCCCACGTAGTGGGATAAAGGCTTGATGTTATTGATGGATTCTAATTGTGATTAATAATTTGTAGGTGCTCGTTGATTTTGCATTATTCTAATTTTTTGCAAATTTTTTCAAATTTATTCAATCATTACGTTATCGCTTAGGTTCTTTTTTTTCATTTGAATAAATCAAGTATTTGGATAACTAGTGATCTTTTGACATGTGAATCATAAGTCCCATTCCATGATTACATTCATTGTACCAATCTAGTTTCAATAGGAAACCTAACCCTAAATTATCCTGCTTTGAATAGATGATAGATATTGTAGCCTATTGCTACATCAGCATGTCAATTAAATGTAAGGAATATTAATTTGTCCAATTAAAAAAATAACAAATGATGCAATTTAAATATTAAAAGACAAGTTCAAGTTTTAGACAAACAAATTATAACAATCATGATATTCAAAAGTATATTCCTCCATTTGATGGGAGGTATGATCTTACAAAGTTTTCATAATGCATCAATGATTTAAAAGATTTCATATACAAACACAGCATGCTTTAAAAAAAAAAAATTACAAACACAGCATGCTTAATTTCCATTAAATGAGCCAAACTAAAGCTAATTGGACATGCTCAATCTTTTTGGCAGTAAGTAGCCGCTAATTATTCAAAGCTAATATGACATGAAGTGAAATACTTGTAAATTGGTGAACATATGGATCAAATACATCATCATTAAGTGTGTTTGAATGCTATTAAGGCATTAAAAGTCATGCTGCTAAATATTATTTGTCTTTCGATTATTTATTACTATTAGTAGAATTCAAGTTGGATGGATGAAGTGGAGGAATGCATTGGGCTTGATGTGTGATAGAAAAGTACCACTCAAACTTAAGCGAAAATTCTATAAGATGGTGGTTAGACCTGCAATGCTTTATGGCGCAGAATGTTGGCCATTAAAAGAGAAGCATAATATTAAGTTAAGTGTTGCAGAGATGAGTATGCTCAAGTGGATGACTGGCTTTACTCTTAGAGATAGGATATGAAAGGAGCATATACGTGAAAAGGTTGGAGTAGCTCCAGTGGCATATAAGATTAGAGAGAGTCGTCTAAAATGATTTGGTCACATAAAACTGAGACCTTCCGATAACCCGGTTAGGAGTGTAGATGCATTAAATTTAACCTATGTTAAAAAAGGTAAAGGTAAACCTAAAAGGACTTGATTAGAAAATATTAGAAATGACCATTATTTATTAGATTAGATCTAAATTAGAATTTGACAATGGAGAAAAAGGATTTATGTAGCCGACCCCACGTGGTGGGATAAAGGTCTGTTGTTGTTGTTGTATTATAACAAATTTAAAGTTATTTTAAATTTTAATTTAATAAATTTATTTAAATTTTTAATTATATAAAATTGATAATTACTGAATCAACCGGCTCTTAAAAACTGAAACCAGTTCACCGTTTAGGCGGTCAAACCGCCGGTTCATTGCAAAGCCTATTTAAAAAAAATCCAGACAGGCTAGCCAACCGGTTTCTAGTCAAACCAATCGGTCCGGTTTTCAAAACAATGTTTATTACATCTACAACTTAGGTTGGGCTGGTTTTTTTTTTTTTTTTTTTAATTTTTTTTGTAATCAAATCAATAGGCTGGTCATGAATATTGCTAGGTTGAGCCTTTTACCTTACTGTTAAGAATGTGGAATTATTAACAGTTAAGCTACAATATATTTCATTTTTTTAATAAAATCGAAGTTAGAATAATTTGAAATCAAATTGGATTGATTATGTGCCAATCATATATATTAACTTAATGATGAGCCTATAAATAAATAGTCTGAGGCATATAATGGGAAAAATTAGAATCAATAGCATTTATCATTCTAGTGTCAAGCTTACGTGTGCAAGTTGGACATGTGATTCCTTTCATGTAACAACCTGTATAACTAAATTAATTCCAAGGGAGGTCATCTCCTTGTACTAGCACAAGGCCTAATTTTCTATTACTTTTATGAATTATTTCCTTGGCAAGACTTCTTTAAAATATATGTTAGTAGTTTGCTAGCATCTTTGATCTTGTTCAAATATAATACACATGATATTCTAATTGTGGTGACTAAATTATAATTGCTTGTTGATCTTGTAGATTGTTGTTGTTGATTTTTTGAGATATTGGATCATTGTATTATTGTTTGAGTTTTAACTCGTGTATTTCATGATTTGCACTTAGAAAAACAACTTTTTACTAAACGATCTTTTGATTTGTGAATCATAATTTTGATGTAGGATGATTGTTGACCTCCATAAAAGGTCCACGAGTAGACTAGATTAAAGATGTAAGATGGATGTAGTTCGACTCGTAATCAACTCAAAACACTTGTTTTTATGGAAAGAAGCTCATTTGCCACCAATTTCACCAAATGGACGATCCCGAGAATAAGTAAATGCTTAGCATTTTAAAGGAAGATATTCATGAGAGAATCATAATTGAGCCAAATTAAATAATAATTATTTACAGGATTATGACACATATTTACACAAAGTAAAAAAATTCTTTTAAATTAAATCGAACGAGTCACAATTTGCATAGCGTTTTAAACTTTCAATAAACTTACTTGAATATGGGCCATAAACTGAGCAATACAAATTTTCGAAGTCCACTACAGTTAAACAACCGGACTTTGTCACAGACGCCACATAGATGCCCTAAAGAGTACAAAACATTAAACAATTAAAGGAAGATTCATAATTAGAAATTAAGAACAAATAAATGAATCAAATTTAAAAATAATAGTATTTTTTAATAACTAAATAAAATCAAATATCCTTTCTTTAAAAAGTATTAGAAAAGTGGCAATAATTCAAGTAAAGCCCATCGTGGAAAAACTTTGAAACGGCTATTCCTAGTTTTTCATAGCTTGTAGGAGCATACGGTGTTGAGCAGTGTTTCCTGAATTGCAATCTTATTTTCATTCAACATTCTAGCGTATTTAGTAAAATAAATGGTAGATCAATACAATCTTTGCTAATACAGAAGTTGGCTGACTACTTAAGTCAAGGATCATCATCACTGATTACTTGAGAAATAAATCATGAAATAGGAAGCTCCGGAGCCATAAATTGGATTTCAATTAGCAATAATCCAGAAAATACAAGAAACTGTGAGTATTATAACTTTGAGAGAATTTATACTTATACTTCCTTACTACACCATATAATTTTCTTGCGATTATTCTTAAGGAAATTAAAAAAAGAAAGGATATCAGCATGCTATTCCCATTCCGTGCAACAATATACTTGATCACAAATTACAAGTGGTTGTGATAGAGATTTCTAGATTTAGGGCATGTTAACCTTCAGACGGGCACATGATTATTTTGAGTTTTGAGTTGCTTTTGGTATTTTCATAGCTTTGATTTTAGTTTTTTCACACATATGACTATAGTATTGATCCCTGGTAAGAACTGGTTGCTCTTTAAAGTCTGTGCAAGTTTGATTCAATTCCATGTGTTGGTTTGAAACGGCCCAACCACTAATTTTTAATTCAACTATTGGTCTTTGGCGGTTGTTGTTGGCATACTAATTAGTTATTTACTTCTCTGAAGACTTGTGGTTGTCTATTATTCACCATATCGCTATTTTGGGAAGGTGGTCATTGTATGTCATGTGCTTACCAACCTTTGGGGGAATCCAAACATTCAATTTGGACAACATAAGGTGGATTGGAAACTTGCCTTTTTGCTGAAACTTACTACCAAAAACTTCGTCATCTAACAACCCTAGTTCATAGTTAGGATTTGAGGAAACTATAAATTGTGAGTCGAAGTTTTGATTATAAATAAGGGGTCTCTAGGTATTTAAATGGCATTTAACGGTTCAATAAAATTCTAAATTTTTTTTCAAACTTCCGTGAGTTGTTGAATGTAAGTTTTTTGAGCATAGACAACTGTTAAGGGGAGGCTTAGATCTTTTTTGGTGACTTCCATCCATATTCTTTTTCATCTATATATTTTGTGATTTATTTTTGCATGTATGATTGCAAGTTGATCAAGTCTGTTACAATCTGATTTTCATTATTAATGTATGTGTCCTATTCGCAGCGTGGTTCTTATTGATCTCAATTTTCTATTTTGAATGTTTAAATTATCATTTGCAGCATGTTTTACGAGTTTTATTTTTTGCATTAAAAGTAAAAAAAATTTACCTGACTAAGCTTTGCTGGACGGTGAATTTTGATATTAATGTGTTTTCGTGCATGTCATTCAAGATTTGTATCACGGAAAATCAAGATCCTATAATGCTTTGTATCTAATTGGTATCAAGGCTTACTCCCATAGCACTCTCACACAAATGTAAGCCTCACTTTAACTATATTGTTGCGTCGCATGAGAGCTTCCTATCCATCGTCGCAACCTGGTGCCCACACACATGAGGCGCCTGACCTCATCTTCATTCGAGACATCTCCCGTTTCTCTTTAGTCAACCTCATCAGTGCTTTGCTAGGTTGGGCTTCGTCATCATACTTAGGAACCTCCCTGATGTAAGTTCCGATTAGGAATTTGATATTATCATCCCTCTCTTTTGTGAGGCATTTTTATCTCATTCGGGTAACTTTTCTGTTTCCGCATTACAAAGCTTTGCCTTTGCCTCTTATGGCCTACCTCTTATCAAGCAGTAAAGGTCGACACTCTTCCCTCAACCCCCAATCATTTTCTTCCCTCCTGCATCTTCACTAGCCCAACGATTTCTAATGAATCCTTAATTTTGCCAAGGTTCCTCCACTTACTTCCATACACAAATAACCTACCTCCACTCCTTGCTCCCCCTTCTCATTCCTATGCAAATGTTGTTAGTGAGAATGATGATTCAATTTTTCAATCCTCTCCATCCAACCATTTCTATTTTTTTAGCAAGATCAAGTATAACCTCAACATAAGCACCCATCAAGGTAAATCTATGCTCATCTTCACCGAAGAAGAGATACCTAAGCTTGCTAGGCCTCTATATTTTTCTCCTATTGGTAAATTCTAATTGAGCCGCCCCAAATTAGAGGTTCACAAATATATGTTTGATTTACTTTTACTTGGTAACTAAATCGATTAACACATCTATCCTTGTCATGTTATTATTAGGTTATCTAACAAAGCATACTACACCTTTTCTCTCAAAGGTCATATTATATAAGTGGTGGCCTCATAATGCACATGCTCAGTGGCGGAGCCTGGATTTTTTCTCTGCGGGCACAAAATTTTGACTTTAAAATACCCTCAAGCTTTTTCATTTTAGCTTGAAATTGACATTATGGTTTATTTTTTTTAAATCATACTAATCTATTTCAACTATTTTTCTATCATATATTTTCATATCTAATTTAAATAAAAATATAAATTAAAAAATATTTTATAACTAACAGTAAACATATAAAAAAACTGCATCTTTTTATTATAAAAATATATTAAAAATATATAAAAATTTATAATGAGCATGTTTTAAGCTACTTGATTTCAAATTAAATATTATAATTCTTTTCTAATATAATTTGTTGACTTTAATTACATAAATCTCTTATAAATTAAAATTTGGAGTTTTTAAAATATTAAAAGATTATTGAAATTTGTAATTTAAAAAAATAGTCGTGTGAAGATCGTAAGAGAAAAGTAGTCTCACCTCTCATGAGGGGGAGAGAGAGAGAGAGAGAAAGAGAGAGAGAGAGAGAGAGAGAGAGAGAGAGAAGAAAGAGGGAGAGCTAGGTTGGTGGAGGAGGTTGCCGGCTATAAAAAATTAAAAACAAAAAGGCAAAGAAAAAGGAAGAGAGAGAGAGAGAGTAGAGAGAAGATAGGTAGATTTGATATGAGAAAAGAGGGTGACAGCCAAGGAGTTCTCATACAATAATTTTTTTTTTTTGGGGGGGAGGAGGGGGGGGCCACGAGCCCCCCTAGGCCCACCCTTAAATCCGCCCATGATATGCTAAAATGACCTTCCCATTTTAACTCTATCGACGAACTATGGATCACTCCAATTTGGATTGCATTCCCTATATTTCAACCAATCCACTTTATATTCCATGAATTCTATAATTGGCAAACCTTTACAAGTGGACAATGCTACTACTTATCTTTCAAGGCCTTTTGTAGCAAGAGTTCTAGTAGAACTAAAGATTACATCTCAATTAGAAAATGAGGTGTTGATTGACTCCTCAACTGGTGGATATTGGCATATGATTGAATTTGTACAAAAAATCCCATCATATTGTTCAACTAATACAACTTTTGAGCATATCTAGCTAAATGCTTCAAGGCTCATCTAAATATGAGAAAATCTAATTATCATGTGCAAGAGGAACAATCAAATTAATAGATCCATCCATCTACCACTTATGAAGCCACTCATTTATTAGGTCAGGTCTTCAATTTAGCTTCTCCTTTGGAATTGATGTCTCTTAAGCCTGCCCCTATTAACCTATAAAGATGGCTATTACTATATCTACAAGCATTACCATTGACTATAATCTACCTATTCAAACAATACCTCATCTTCCTTTAATTTATGAACATAGTGATGATCAAGATTCTTAGAAAACATATGATTCTAATCAGAGCACTGAGTATGACACCGAAGTAAATATAAGATTTTAAATCATGTTCTCAAACAATGTTAAAATAGAAATATATATATGATATAATATATATATCAGGCTTCAAGAGAGACAATCCAAATAAATCTTTTTGGAGTTTGCACGTTCCTCATAATTGTATATCATAGGCTATCATGCGATCTTTATCTTGACTCAAATATTTTCCTTTTTCTCTAGCAATTCTAGGTAATTGCTCTTGTTCTACTCATATAATTACCTAGCTATAAATATTTTGCTTTTGAGAAAATAGCAAGGTTTGACTTTTAATAGGACACAATGGAGAAAAAGGATTCATGTAGCCGACCCCACGTAGTGGGATAAAGGCTTGATGTTGTTGTTGTTGTTGAGAAAATAGCAAGGTTTATAATTGCATCAAAATGACTAAAATGTGGAAGGACAATTAATTAATCACCAATGGGATAGAATTTTGGCTACTTGGTAAGGGTAATTCGCTATATTGTTAGCAAAGCTAATTGGCCACTTTTCATCAACATACTTTGTGATTAATTTTTTCATGTGTGATTGAGATTTGATCATATCTGCTGCAATCTAGCTATCCTTATTGCAATGTGAATCCTATCAGTTACATGGTATTACACTTATCTCAGATTTTTAGCAATATTTTAGCTTTATATTATCTTCAATTATTATTTAGAACAAATTTTAATTTGATTTTTTTTATTTATAAAAGGACAGTTTTTTATTTACTAAGAGTTTGGTGGACTACAATCTTTTGATCAAAACTCATCAAAAGTGTTGTCTAGGCATTTACAATGTAATGTGCGATGCATCCAAGGTATCTTAGAACCATATCTATATTCGCTTCAAATGAAAGCGAGAATGAAAGAGCTTTAAGTACAAATAATTAAGAAACTACATAGAATGTGCTTTAAACTGCAACTAAAGAATAACTGGCATAGAAAACTCCAATCCTCCAACAGATACTCCTTTACTTCGTGACAAGTGAATGCCAAAGAGTAGTTATGCCAACTAAAACTAAGAAAGCAAATCAAATAAGTTATTGTAATACATTTCTGAAATGTTAACAAGGCAAAGGTGTTAAACTAACACTTAAAAAAAAAGGTGTTAAACTAACCTTGGAGTCAAATTCCAGACCTGAAATTCCCTCCCTACAAAACAGCGAGCTTACAGTAAATGAATCCTTCAAATGAAAAGGAAAGGGGGGAAGAAAAATAACTGGTGAATAGAAATGACAACTTCCACCCACATGATTAAAACTACAACGAGCAATCAGCAATCAACAATCACAAATAAGTGAAGAATGTCATGCCCAATTATTACTTCTTGGGCATCCTAGTTTTGGGGAATTTGCAGCAAGAAACAAGGACTAAAATCCCAAAAGCAGAGCCAACAACAACAATCCTTTAATACAATCCCAAAAGTAGAGCCTTGAAGATAAAATAGACTTGTTTATGAAAGTAAAGGGCCAGCTTCGGCCAATAAGAACAAGTCTACAGACGGTGTACAAAAGCTCATATGGAGCAATGAATTAATTATTTGAAGATTCTCAGGTGGAGCTTTTGAATTACATATACTAGGGGCCTCACTGATATAGAAAATCCCTTAATTGAACTGAACATTGGAATGGACAACCTTTTATATTTGGGGACCTAAGTTGAAATTTCTGGTTTTACATTTTATTTTAACCTTCTTTTAGCTTCCTCAAATGTAACGGCTGCCAACTGATAGGCTAAGTGAGGAGAATTCTTCTTTGGTGGTATGAAGACCGTCAACTTTGCGAGACTGAACTTACCACAGATTTAAAAATGAAAAACCTCATACTTAAAATTTAATGAGCGTGAGATGTTAAGGAGTCACATAAACAATAGGATAGCAAATCCAAATCCTTCCGCAAATGAAAATTACGTTATCAAACTTTATATATTTTCTGGTGGATTAAACACACCTGAACATTTACACTAAATATGTCAAGAATAGCCATGGGTTATACTGAAGCTCCTGAAGGAAATATTGAGTTGTCCTGGGTACTTATTGGCGCACACAATAATGCCCACAATAGTTGCTTAAGGATTTTATCAATATAAAATGCTGAAGTTATGCAGAATAGAATGTGTATGAAACTCAAAAACACACACGCAGTTAAGCTCGAAATATGGGTGGCATAAACAAAACCATATATTCATTCATCAATATAAAGAATGAGGACACTATGATGAATAATGGAATTCCATAATCTGACCTTATAAAAGGGTTTGGCCTATTTTGGTTTGCAGCACTTATAACTCGTGCAGCCTGAAATGCAAAATACTATTTTTAATGAAAAACGGAATACTATAACTGCGAAATAACTAATTAATATTTGTAAACCTTAACTCCGTAGACTATTGGTCATCCACCACCAAATATAACGAAGTAAACAAAGTAAACTAGTAGAATGAGAAATCGAGAAGAGTCACTTACGTGAGTTGGACAGTCAGGGCGAGAGCAGCAATTATGCCCAAAAGACCTAACCTTTCCACATCAAGCAAAAATATAATCAGGCCTGAGAATGAGAGAAAAACCGAAAGGCATATCCAAGTAGCAGAAATATTATCCACTGTTTATGAGGGAATAGATGAGCTCCATGAAAACCCTAATGTTGATTAATGCAATTTTTGAGGGTAAATAAGGTTAACGATACGAACTTCGGCATACAAATCAAGGAGCAGCTGGAAAGAATCACGCCGGAACCTAGAAGAAAATCTGCCATCCAGTTCAAGCGCGCTTCTCTTCCATACAGGCCTGGAAGGTAATAAGGGCAAATGAAGAAGCAACCCCGATGCGTCAAGGTTTCCTAGTGGTTAGTTGCTGGTGTTATAACTTACCGGCATAAACTCCTTGAGTTTTCTCGAGAAACAATAGGGACGGTGAATCTCTGCATCAGCGGATATGTTGAGGCCGAGCGGCAAAAGGCAGGCTACTTTGCCCGCCAAAAATCATATAAAGAACACGAGAGGGCGACAAGGGGTGTAAGGGCGTCAAGCAGTCGGCAAATTATTGCATCAGTTCACGCGACGCGGAAAATAAGTTCTTACATACAATAAAATAAAAATTTTTCATCTCACATGCGTTTTTTACTGCCGTTTTGACTTACGTTTTTTAATTTTGTTTTAGTTAGCGTTAGTTGCGCTTTTATTATGCTTTACCTACGTTTTTGACTGCACTTTTTTTTTTTTTTGGGACATTTAGGCCATTTAGGCAAACTCACACACACAACGCATACACAAATACTCGAACCCAAGACCTCTTAGTTGGAAGCATAAGCTCTCAACCAACAAGCCAAGTTGAGCTGTGTTTTGACTGCACTTTGTCCTGCATTTTATCTGTGCTTTTGTTACGCTTAATTTAAAATAACATTTTATTAATACGCGGACCTATTTCCACATCCGATGACCGGATGCAATAATTTGCCCAAGCAGTCACCCAACATAGCTTGAGTGGTAGCTCGTCTTGATCCTTGAGCTTGATTAATTTCTGTCTTAATTTTAAACTAATTATAATTTAAATTTTAATTAGGCTTAGAGGTGTAAAAATTTGACATGATCCAAAATTCGACCCGGAAAAATCAGAGTTTGGGTCAACCCGTTTGTAAAATGGGTTGGGTTCGGGTTCAAATGTTTGACCCGTTTGAAAAAACGGATTGGGTTCGGGTCAACCCGGAAACCCGAAATCAACTTGAAGTTAACCTTAGTCTAGGTCTGTAAGCTCGCGTTGTGCCATAGTCGCATATCACGCGACTAAGTCTGTCTCAACTCTCACGCAATCAGCCGATCAAGCCCAACCAGACCCCACTCATCACGCTCCCAATGGCCCCAACCCATTCAGTGCCTTGGCCTGGCAGCCTTCAGGTCCAGGGTGGACCACGCGGTACTATGGATTGGCCGTACAAGGCAGCGCCTCGACCCGACCGTCGTCCGCTTCATATTGGTCGTGTGAGGCAGCATCTAGACTTGGCAGTCGTCCGTCTCATCGGATTTCGTGTCAGGTCATGTCAACCCAACAACCCGGCGAGTTGGGTCTGGGTTGCATTTTTTATCCCGTTTGCAAAAAATGGGTCGGTTCGGGTTCATGTCATATAGGGTTTAGGGTGCCGAGTCAATTCTTGATTCAACCGAAACCCGACCCGTTCACCCGAATTGACACCCTTAATTAGGCTAATGATCAACGAGATAAAAAATTAAAAATCAGCCAAATCACTTATTAGTCGAGCGACTTACCTATTTTAAGTAAGTTGTCCATTCGACGGGCGACTTACCTAGTTTAAGTAAGTCGCCCGTCAACAGGAGACTTGTATTTTTTTATTAAAATAATAATCAATCAATTTTATACAGTTGTTTATCAAGATTGGGCTTACAGCTGTACTAAATTGGATTGTAAATTTTATATGCCATGAGCTGTGAAGCTGTACGGAGTAGTCACACTCTATGGGGTGTAAAGTTGCAAGGAGTAGCTCAATGGCTTCCATAAAGTGATGCAATAGTACGACGAATGGTATGTAAATCAATTTGTGTGGGTTTCTCCATACGAGGTTGGCGCCTGAACTCGGCGATGTTTTTCCATATCATGATCGGCTGCCATGAAACCTGAAAAAAGAATACATGTGAGATTGCAATGATATAATGTAATAAATTCAAGTAAGAACGTTTTCAAGTTATAAATACAAAATAAATTAAGAGAATAGAATGAAATTGGAAGTTATGTAGGGAAAAAAATTATGCATAAAAAACAAAAAAGTAGCATAGAGGCATACCTGGTAGGAGACATAGTTCGAGTCAGACCTACTAAGTGGCATGCACTGTAAAACCTGTTGCTTTTTTGTCTTGGTTCATCCATTGTGTGTAGTCTTCCTAATCTACACCTAAAAGGGTGGGATAATAGGGTGAAGTCCGAGTGTTGGGTTATAGGTCTGCCACCATGCCCTATCAGGTATGTTATGGAACTTTAGGGATGTCAATTTTTGACACAGACCTGAAAAATCCGGATTCGGGTCAACGCGAACCCGAAACGGGTCGGGTTCGGGTTGAACAAATCAACCCGTTTTAAAAATCGGGTCGGATTCGGGTTGACCCAGTAACCCGAAATTGACCTGAAAGTGACACGAAAACTCATATTTGACCCGAAAACACGAGATTGACCCTTTTTTTACCCGATTTTGACCCGAAAATTAACAATTTTAGGTCAACTTTGGTCAACTTTGGGTCATTCGTGTCGGGTCGGGTTGACCCGGACCCGAATCGGGTCGGGTTCGGGTCCGGAAACCTGACCCGTTTTTAAAAATGGGTCGGGTTTGGGTTGACCCGAACAGTGCCGGGTCAGTTTCGAGTTCGACCCGAACTCAACCCGCCGACCCGAATTGACACCCCTATAGAACTTCCCAACATAAGTAAGTCGATAGTTATTTAGTGTATAATACTTTGATGCATATGTAATGTGACTTCAGCTGAGCATAAATATGCAACTAATTATGTGTGCACATAGCAAATGGTATATGATTATTTTTTTGCAAGTGCATATACATTTTTCATCACCTACCAAGTATACCCTGTATAATTGGAAGGAAATATCAAAAACTTTAAACTCATGCATATTAATTCTAATAGGTTATGGTAACCTCATAGCTTCATGTTCTAGTTTCTTAAGCATTGAATGAATGTGTGGTTGAAATAGAAGTAATTCTATAAGGTACATGAAAAATATAGAGGAGATCATTGAACTCATCCGGTGATATCTTTTTTTTATGTGCTTTCTTTCTTTTGTGTAATTAATGAAAATGAGTATAATTCACTTGTTATTCATGTCTGACAAATTTCTTTAGTTTTGTATTGATAGTGTAAATAAAATATGAAGTACTAATGAGTTATCTTCATCAATAATTTCATAATATTTTCAATATAGCATGTCTTTATTTAATGCACATAGTGATCATATATATAGTTAAAATCATGTGTAATGTGGAGCTTAGAATAAGAAGGCTGGCACAACAATGTATGTTGGATTGGTATGATGCAAGTATATGCATAGTACTTTTAATTTATCAAATTTGTAGATATGAATTATCATGAAGGGTTTTAATAGTACACGCTTTGCTTATTCTTTTAAGATTCTCATAGGGTGACAGACTATGAGAGTTTAGAGTATCACAATGTCATGCTTATAGTCGAATAGAGCGGCTCGACGAGACAAATCCAACGAGCCCAAGATCATGAAATTTCAACATCATTAAGACCTTAAGATATCTAGCGAACAGACCATGATCAAGGGATTCAACATCGGCCGTCCATACAAACCACTCATAAAATACCTTTGATCTTCCTCCTATTTACATATCATATCACTCTCAGAAATCTATAAATAGACTTCTCACTTCTCATAAAAGGGGACCCCAAGCAGGAGGGCAAGAGAGAGATCGGAGATCGCGCGCTCTTGCCTTCTTGTTCCTCCTCGACCACTGGCCGGACTTCCGCTCAGACCATTGCCTGGCGCCAGAATTCTACCGGACCATCACATGACACCGGAGTTCTATCGGACCACCACCCAACGAAGGACTTCCGTCGAACCACCGCCCGATGCCAGAGTTCTGCTAGACCACCACCCAATGTCAGACTTCCGCCGAACCACCCCCCGATGCCGGAGATACGCCATACCACTGCTGGACACTGGAGTTCCGCTAGACGCCGGAGTTTTGCCGTACCACTGCCCGACGCCGGAGTTCCGCCATACCGCCGCACCGCCGCCCGACATCGGAGTTCTACTAGACCACCACCTGGCGCCGGAGTTCTAATGAGCATTTTGTTTGATATTGAGGATAAGGCATCTTGCATGGGGATGAAATCAAGGATAAGGATATTGAAGAAACGAGTAATTAACTAATTATAACATAATACAAGAGTGCCTTGGTCGGTTGTCTATTGCTCCATGAAGGAGCACCATTTCAGTTGCCTCAGAGTTATTGTGATGATAAGAAAGTATATGAGGAGGTTGTTGATACTGATCTACGAACGAGTAGATATTGCAAATAAGTTCAACTATATTTCGTGAGCAGATTCTTTCATGGATAGTGAATCGGATTTCTGATAAGCAAAACAATCTCATTAGAAACGTGTAGCCTGCTCATATTGATTTCAGGTTGTTTTTGCTCATAAACCTCTGGGCCATTGCTTCATCCTTAATCACAACAGAATAAACAATTAACAACTGGAAAATGAATACTTGAAAAATGAGAATAATTTCAGAAGAATATGCAGCTAATCGGGCCGATATCAATCAGATGCTTAGCCTTATAATCAACACTTTCTACTTCAATTCGGAGATCTTTCTTCAATGAGCTCATCAGTCCATCGCCTTCACAAAAGTATGATGATTCCTTTTCTTTTAAAAAATAAGAATTAAATCATACTAAAATCATTCCTAAAATTCAAATTGAATAGAAAAAAATAAAAATTAATCCATTTAAACACATTTAAATGAAATCAAATTTAATTTCATAGTTAAATAAAATCAAATTAACTTGATCATATTTAAATGATCCCTAAAATCAAATCAGTTATAAAACTAAGCAAAATTAAATCCAATATACATATTAAAATTGAATCAAAATTAAAATCTAAACCCAAACTACAATGAACTAAACCAACAACAACAACAATAATAGCAACAACAAGACTTTTTCTGGGTCAAACAATGAACCAAACCAATTAATTCAAAATCATATAAAACTCAAGCCATAGACGTTCAAACTGAATAAAAGCTAATTAAAAAAACTCAAAATAAACATAAATAAATCAATCTTAGAATAAAATTAAATAAATCAAATTAAATCAATTCAGTCACATCAAAATAATTCATAAAAATTAAATAAAAACTAAAAAGTTAATAAAAACCAAATCAATTAATACATTCAAATGATACAAAATTTAATTTCAAAGTTAAATCATATTAAAATCCTTCTCAAAATAAAATCTAATATAGAGCTGAGCAAATTCAAATCAATCATATACATTCAAATTAAATTGGGCCAAGCAAACATGCTAATATTCTGTTTAGAACAATTCTCATACCATTGATTTTTCCCAACTCTCACAATGTAATATGTTCTATATGATATATACTTGCTACATTGAGCCAAGACCCTCCCCTCGAGGAAGAGCTTAATTTGTAATTGACTACCAACAATAGTAGAATTCTTTTAAACTGGGCTAAGCCCCGCAATTTTTTCCGTTTTTAGGATTTTCCACGTAAAAATCATGATTTTTTTTATGACTCTTGCATCCCTCTCTATTATATGTTTGTATGTTGGATATTCATAGAAAATTAGGACACTAAACCCTCTCTCTCTCTCTCTACTGTTGCGAATGTTCTAGGATGCAACAATTCATAAAGTAGGTTGCAAAGATTTGGAAAGAGACGGAACCAATTCGAAGAAATTGTACACTTCAAAATTGCAGCAAATAATTCATTTAAGACCTTCCTCCTTTAAATCACACAAATCTCTTTCTTTTTCTTATACACATAAGATCGCGCAGAGAGAATGAAAAGGACGAACAAACAAACATTTAGACCGGCAACAAGCCAGTAGAAATAATCCAGATGAGCTCGGTTTAAATTATTGGAGAACCAGCTCTCGCCAGTAATGCTCATTGTCGCTTTATCAGTCACGTAAACAAGGAAGCTATTAATGAGATTCCCGACACCAAATATGCTGATGCAGAGAGCAACCCCCAAGCTCCTCAGCGCATCAGGCATTTGATCATAGAAGAACTCTTGCAGGCCACCAATGCTAATGGCCGTTGCAATGCCCATGAGAATGTACTGAGGAAACAGCCACAATATACTCATAGGCAGTACTGAGTTTGGCTCGTCTACTAAACCAAATTCTCTTGCAGTTTCAAGCCTTTTTATCTCAACCAGAGCTGATATAACCATCACAAATATTGAAATCAGCAATCCTGTGCCTATGCGTTGAAGCATCGTGAAGCCTGAAGGAATTCCTGTAACATTTCTTGCTAGAGGAACAGCGATGCGATCGTAGATAACTATAGTAAAAGTAACAACGGCACTATTGAGGCCCTGAAGCCCTGCTGCTGGAATTTGGAAATTTGATCCTATTTTCCTGTACAGAGTGCCACCTTGTTTTGTAAAGAAAGTTTCGAACTGGGCTAAGACAAGTGTGTAACCTACGCAGCTTGCCCAAATTGGAAACAATCGAAGTAGACCTTTAGCTTCTTCTATCTGGTCGGTATTTAGATTTTCTTCACTAGCCTCAAGTCTGCTTGGGAAACAAACCGGTTAAATAGGGGAAATTATTGGGTTCGGACACTTTATTGAGCTCGGTATTGTGAAGTACTGAGTTCGGTACTTCACAGTACTGAGCACGGTACTTCACAGTACTGAGCACACTGAGCTCAGTACTGAGCAGTACCGAGTTTGGTACTGCTCGATTCTGAGTTTAGTACCGAGTAGAGGGTGACGTGACATATTTTCATTGGCTCCAGACAATGTCCGGTGTCCGAACCCAATAATTTCCCGTTAAATAGGCAGTATTGTTAGCATCAAACACAGCACCAATATGATAAATATACATTGTTCAGGGAGGTATAAATAACATATTCGAGTTAATTGGCAACCCAAAAATTAGATGAGGCGAGTCCTAATGCCTCAAAATGTAGGTTCTTTATAAAAATGTAACTCCAAAAAACTCATAAGCTATCGGCCATTGCTTATCTGTAAATTATAATAACTGATAAAAAACTGTTAATATAATCTTTATCTATTTATTATATTCAGCAATTCTAAGGGGCTCTTTGGCTATCAGATTTATATAAGATTTGAGCAAAATTTAGCGTAAATCCTATTAAATGGGATTTGAGAATCCTGTAAATCTTACGGCTGAATTACTAAAAATAAATAAACAATTAACAATATAATTAATAATCAAATACTTATTAAATAAACACCTAAATTAGTAATTAGATAATTAGTACTATAATAAGTAATTAAATTATTAGTTAAATTATTTAATAAGTAAGCTAAATTCTAATTATATTATTTATCATTATAAATTTTATTAATAGTATTTAAAACTGAAATTAAGAAGTAACTCGTGAATTAAATTCAAAACAAAAAACAAATTTAAGTTTTTAAAATCTAACCGCCTTAAATTCTGAATTATGTTGCCAAATAATTTCAGTGGATTTAATAAAATTTAGCATCTATCTTGCCAAAGAGTATTGGGGATTTAATATATCTAAGATTTACTAAATTCCAATTTCAAGTATTTACTAAATCCTACTTGTTACCCTAAGAAAATCAATTTGGGCAGCTGATATTAGTTTCAGTGTTTTTTTTTTCTTTTCAAAACTACAATAAAGTCAACCCCAGATTTGATTTAAGGAGAAACAGGAAAACGTTTACCTGGGTTGATGGGATGACTCAGGGCCGTGCTCATCTTGTGCTTTTGCTTTAAATTTGACCGAAGAAAACCTCTGAATCCTCACCAAAGTGGCAAGCAACTGACTAATTTGAGCATAGGAGCTCTTCTCTTTTAGGGTATAGCAGCGGTAGAACCTGGAACCCATCAAGAAAACGGTAAAAGAAGCACTCATAAGAACACACGGGATTCCAAAACCAATGCCCCAATTTACGTTTTCCTGTACATAGCTGAGGATGATGGGAGAAACTATCATTGGGAGACTCAATCCAAAGATCCACCAATTGAAGAATGAACTCCTCCACATACTCTCCTCACTGTCAGTCTCATCGAACTGGTCTGCGCCAAAAGCTTGAGAACAGGGCCTATGGCCGCCCTGTGCAAACGCCACAAGATAAAGAGAAAAATAAAAAAGCGTCACTCTGAGAGTAGTCGGAGGGCAAGCAGCATAGCTCATGGTCTCCTCCCCTTCACTGTAGCAGTTGGAGCGATTTGGCAACACAGCAGAGAGCGAAAGCAGGCCAAGACCCTGTGGTTTCATTTCCGGTGAAATAAAGATCTGATTTTTATAATGGATTAATGGTAGGAGATGGGATATAATTGAAGGCGAGAGCGCACCAAGACGTACAGGATGGCGGAAACGATGATGGTGCGGTAACGGGAGAGGAAAGAGTCAGATACCAGAGCGCCGAGGATGGGAAGCATCATTGAGGCGCCACTCCAAACGGTAACAGCGGCGGCGGCGGAGGCATTAGACTCGCCGAGAGGGCCCGTCATGTAGGTTATGAGGTTGAACATGATGCCGTTGAAAGCCACCCTCTCCGCCATCTCCATCACTGTTTGAATCCATTTAAGGATTAGAACTTAATTTGGCCAAGTAGGCAAGAAGCTAGCTTGTTGCAGCGATTTTACCTAGAATGAAGGAGGCGGCAACCCACCGGCCCGAATCCTGTTTGGTGATCGTACGGCCTCTGTAGTCCAGCACACCGTCCATGGCCACCGGCTTCCCGAGAAGGGGGTAGTTCTCCATGCTTCGCCGCCTCAGTCTCCTACTCTCTAACGGGACAAATGAAAGACCTTTTGGCACTGTAGTGAACTGCAAGCGATGGGGAGTTGATTGAAAGGCCGCAAGTGTCAGAGTCAGCAGAGTCAGACGCAGCTGGCATCGCGCAATTTGGTTTTGTTAAATTGTTCATGACGGCAGTGGGCCGGCCGTCCATTATTGTTGGATGAATGTTACCTTCATTCATCTCCAGTAAGTAATAAATCTAATAATCTTGATAGATTAGTGATAATTCAATTATATTTTTTTAATAATGATAAATTCAACATGCTCGGTTGATAAGAAAAGAGAGAGCGAAGTAGGACGGATGCACGATTGTCTACATTGCATGTATTTACGGCCGTTTGTGAACGGTTGATAACAAGTTTTGACTGCTAATTAAGAAATTTTGGATTCGAGTTTTATATATGTGATATGTATGAGTTTGTCTTAATTGACCTAAATATTTTAAAAAAATTATTATGTGCGGAGTCAGGACGTTGAGCTATGTTGCGACTCCAATCAAATGACAGCGTGTGGCTAATACATACTGTGTATTAGTTATGTATTAGCTGGTATACACTGCATATTATAATACACATTATTGACACCGTCCAGGTAGGGGTCTCGACGAATCCACGTCGAGGATTCGGTGACGGGACCCAGAACTCCTTGGGGGAGGGATCACCACCTGAAATCCTTCAAGATACATAAACCCAAAAACAGAGTAAAAACTACTCAAATATTATTCATCTCAAATCTATCTCCATTACATGACATTGGCTACCTATTTATAGCCCAAAAGAAGAACATACTAGGCTACACAAAACAAATGAAAGCACTAAATCTATGTAGCCAGATAAGCTACCAAATGGATTGAATTATCCTGAAGTTAACACAACTAATGGCTCAGCTCCGGCGTCATACTACCGTAGTAGGAGGAACTTCGGGATCATAGAAAGATGTCTGTTGTCCACAAGAAGGAGGCGGGTGTGGTTGGCTAAACTAGCCTGGATACTTCCACTCAGTGTCATTCACCCCGTCTAAAAGAAACTTCAACATAAGCTGGAGTTGATGAAAGTTTTTGATGAACTTAAGGGTTTTGTTCTTTTTCCTTTCTTTCTCATCCTTATCATTAGAATTCTCCTTCTTAGTTAGCTCATTCAGTTGGTAATTTTCAAGGTTTGAATCAAACCCGACACCAAACTGATCAACCATGCCAATATCAGTATCCAAAGCGAGCGCCTCCATGCACTTTGTATTAGAATGTACAAAGGTATCAAGGTGTTTCCCATGATCTGCTTGAATCATACCGAGTCTAATATCAATGATGGAAAGCATGCTCATTGTCCTATCAGGAATGCTAGGCACGACTAGCTTCGGCTGGGAATCCATCTTGCTCTCATCATCATCATCATCATATGTGGGTTGCTCTAGATCAAGAATTTCATTGAACATGTCGTCATCGTACACGTCGTACACCGGCTCATCGTAGAGAGGCAAGAACGACGAATTCGGCAATGGATCTTCAAATTCTTCAAAGCCGAACTCAACTGAGGGTGAAGTGGAAGATATCTGATCATCTGAAATGTCCTCGTCGTCGTCGTCGGTTCGTAAAGATCTTCGTTCAATCTTTGACAATCTTAATTTAAGTCGGGCAATTTCTTGTAGAAGATCTTCGATTTCTTCTTCTTGACATGATGGCTGTCGAGTCCGACGAGGCCACATCTTGCTCTGTAGTGCAAATCCACAAGGTTCTGGGAAAAGTGAACACGCAAAAACAAATCCTAATTTTCAAAAATGATGCTGCCAGTCACTGTTTAATAGGCTGAAAAGCTTTTGTCTCTGGCGGTCCCGTTCGGATCCCAGACGCACTCCACCAAGAACTACTGCTCACAGACGATCCTCTCTAAGCAACTGGAAATCCACCGGTCACTTCAAGAAATAATTATTGAAGTATGCCTTGGAGAAGATTGGCTATCACTGGGATCTATTGGCAGTCATAAATCTAAGATCGAAGGCAACAATTCTTGCAGACACAGCGGATTCAGTTTATGGAAGAAGAAGGACAACAGCTTTTCTTATGGGAGATATCAAGAAATACTCAGACATAAAGGGGGTGGAGGAGAAACGAGTGGTTGAAGACTTTTAGTAGTTGCGGAGAAAGATCTGGAGGAGGAGGGCTTATGCTAACATGGGGAAAGTTCGGCTGAAGGTTGTGAAATCTATGGTTGCTACTTAAGGTAAGAAGCTGAAGGTAGCTGTAAAGGGAATCAAGCCCAAGTCTGCAACTCTCTGCTTTAGTTAAAAGAATGAATATAAAGAAGCCCCTTGCAACAACAAGATCTGTGAAGAAAGGTTCCCAAAAGCGAAGTCGGTGAAGAAGACAACACCCTTCTTGGCTACCGGACCACGCTTCTTGACTACTGTTCAGCCTTATGGGGTGACGATCCGCTCGGAACAAACTACACAGATGTGTTCTTCAAGGAGGAGGAGCAACTCTGACTGCTGACTGTTTGAATGTAAGTGGAGATCGTTGTTTGGGGCGGGAGGGGGATGGGATGCGAGCAAATGACGTAACGACGGACAAGAATGCCAGCAACTTGCCGGCTCTGATACCAAATGACACCGGCCAGGTAGGGGTCTCGACGAATCCACGTCGAGGATCCGGTGACGGGACCAAGAACTCCTTCTTGGGGGAGGGATCACCACCTGAAATCCTTCAGGATACAGAAACCCAAAAACAGAGTAAAAACTACTCAAATATTATTCATCTCAAATCTATCTCCATTACATGACATTGGCTACCTATTTATAGCCCAAAAGAAGGAACATACTAGGCTACACAAAACAAATGAAAGCACTAAATCTATGTAGCAAGATAAGCTACCAAATGGATTGAATTATCCTGAAGTTAACACAACTAATGGCTCATCTCCGGCGTCAATTATGTACTAGCTATATATTAGTTGTGTATTGGCATGTACTAGTTATGTGTTGATGTATATTAATTATGTATTGATGTGTACTCAATATGTATTATATTACACAATATATGCTAACAAATACAAAGCTAATACACATCAATACATAACTAATACGCATTGTCATTTGATTCGAGTTCAGATGTAGCTCTACGTTTGGATTCTGCATGTAATAATTTCTCGTAGTCATGCCCAACATGAAAAGGAATCCGTACGGAACATATATAAATTTAATATTTTATTATTAAAAAAAAGCAATTGATGATGGATATCAAACCCCATAGTGTCAGATTTAGATTTTGTTTGGGATAAATTTTTTACTATTTTCTAAAGTAATTTTTTAATGCACTTTTTTTTACTAGAAAATTGCTTTAAAAATTAGTAAGAAAATAATGACAAACAAAGCTTTAATGACCACAATTCAGCTGAACATAATCTGAATTTAACTGAGCCAATGAATGTAAAACTCCTCTCTTCAGCCCGTGAACCTCAGCTCGAACCTACCTCAATCATCATGACAATCTTGCACTGACGCCTCATTCTCTCGCTATTTAACAGAAATCTATGCTAGGACATAAAATTTCTCATTCGCTTTTCCTTATCACAATTGCCAAATCCTCATCTTCTTCACCCACATTGACAAAATATAAATTGAAAATCTTCCCCTACTTGTTTTTTTTTTTCTTCTCTCGAGCTGCAAAGAACTTAGATTGAGTCCTCGCCTTCCCCTTTTCATGCTCGACTCAAAGTTGACAACAGAGTTGCCAAAGTCTCTCCCTCATCGCCTTCTCCACTTTTGTGAGTACGAGGAGTTAAACTTATAAAACTTTTATGTACATGTAATATGTATGTACATAGGTACACATAAGGGTATGTGTAATCACAACACCCTCATGGGCCCCGGTGAACATGTTGTAGGAACACACGTGACGTTTAGAGATGCTGCGCGGGTCAGTAAATTTGAATCTGATCCTCCTAAACTGGTAAATAAGAGTCGACAATGTTCAACAAATAATTATAAAATGCCCCCAAACAGCTGCATGGGCCCGACAAACATGTTATTAGTATACACGTGACATTTAGGGATGCTGCGTGGGTCAATAAATGAACATAGTTCGAACCCGATCTTTCTATATGGATAAATAGGAGTCGACAATGCTCGAATTATCAAACAGTATACACGCACAGGCTTTTGGTAGAGCTTTACATGTAGATAATTAAACTATGCTAATTTCTAATTAGGTTTCACTTATTTTAATTTTTACTGATTTTTAATGTTTTTATTTATGTATTGACAATCGATTGGAAGTTGGAAGTTGGCGAACCCTTGTTTCTTCTTCCCCATTGATAGAATATAAACAAAAAATCTTCCTCTATATTTTCTTCTCCCAAGCTGCAAAGCCCTTTCATGAGTCCTCACCATCTCCTCCCTCTTTCAACTGGGCAGTAAACAAGTTCCTTCTCTTCTCCTTTTTTTCATGCTCAACTCAAAGTTGACGACAAATGCTTCTACGAGTTTTCATTCTTTTTTTTCATTCCTTTCATCAAAGCCCCCAATAGTGTAATGCCTAAACCTAAAAGAGAAATTTTAAACTAATTTATTAAAATACATGTAAATTCCCAAGTAATTATTTATTTCATCATAACCAGCTAATTATTCAATAATATAAACGGTAACTCACAGCGTGCACTAAGAGATTTCTGCCAAAATAATTAAATCTCAATAGTTTAGATTACAATGATTGCAACAAAAGTTCAAATACATCTTAACTACAAAAAAAATTATAATTTTCTTTCAAGACGAAACTCGATCTACTTAATAAAACTGAAATGTTATAAACAATGGAATAAGTATAAAACTCAGTAAGTCAATCATATCTTTCTCCAAAATTGAATTCAATTCATAATAAAAAATACAGTTTAAAATAAAATCTTAAATACTATTTAACTTGCAATTTTACACATGCTCATTCATATATGAGAGAGAAATACAAAAATGCATGTGTATTAATGCCCCTTATAACTCTCATATTTCACCTCCCACCTGTTCAAGACAGATGCGGAGTAGAGCCAAAATAGAGATATAATACAAAACCAATTCAAAGCCAAAACAGTATAATTCAATTAATATAGAAGTCTTTCCATCATGAGCTTAAGCAGAGAATCTCATAATATATTTCCTTTCAAATTAGAGCTCCAGAAGGGGACGAAAGGCATGATAATGCGAATTTAGCATATAACTAAAAGCTCAAAATAACTAGAAACTAAATGCCAACTTTTATTAAAAATCCCCACATTTCAGTTGCAGGTGTTCAGAATTTTACCAAATTTACGAACATTGTGTAAAATGCTAAATTAATGTACTTTATCACTCAAATGCCCATATTTTCCTTCTCCCTCTCACAGTAGCTGTTGTATCTCTCCTATCCTTCCTCTTCGATTCTTTTTCTTACAACAGCCATGAGAGAAAGTTATTGGCTTTTTCGCAGTGCCGAAAACCTCCTCCCTCTCCCTCCTCCCAAAACTCTAGCCATTAATTAGTTTGCTCCAAGGCAAAAGCGATAAGCCATCTTTCCATCTTTCCATGCATCTTTCCATCTTTCTCCCTCACCATTATCTTCATAAGCCACTTAGAATCTTAGTTTAATTTATTATATGTTTATGTTTTCATGTACCTATATATGCTGGTATCCACGCATGTAAAAAAAAAAAAAAATCTATGCATGCCTTTGTACACTTATAATAAGTTGTAATATTAGATTAATATCGAGAATTCTTGCAACGTTTTTTATATTCTTCATTCGTCATATTATTATGACCACCAATGTTAACTAGGTTACGCAAAATTCAATAATCAATAGTTTTTATATCATTTCACGTGTCATTATTGATATGTCATCACAAAATTAGCTTGATCGGGCACGAATCTCGAGGCAAAAGCTAGTTGAAAACTTCAAAAATTAATTTCGGGAGCATATGAACTCCGATTTCAGCGAGCTTACAGTCAAACTGAGCGTCTCGGAAATACGAACCCAACGACACCAAGATCAACCCAATCCGAGCCCAAATGAGTCTGAATCAAGGGTTCAAAGCGCTGTTGGAAGATTCAAACCGCAATTTGAGTAACCAAACGGTCTCCGATTTTGACGAGCTTATACTCGAATCGAACGGCTCGACGAGACGAATCCAACGAGCCCAAGATCATTAGGATTTACTCTAATATTCAATTATTTAATAAATATTAAATATTTGTTCTCCTTTTACTGACTTTTGCAAAGCGTAGAAAAAAAGACAGTTAAAATGCAAAAAATTCAGACTATCTCTCCGTCTGATATCCGTAAAGAATAATTAGTTCATATATTTTTGAGATGCACAGCATTTGGATCTAAAAATTGATATAATAAATCATAAAATTTATATTTCAAATCTAAAACTTTGTAGATAAAATCTTTTGATCCACAAATTGACGCGTTTCACATTATTAAATTTTTAGCTGTCGCCTTCACAGTTGAAATAAAAAAATTCACATGCCCTAAAAAGCTAAAACATAGGGGACCGGCACGAAACATGGAAAAATGATATTTTCTTAGCCTGAGCATTAAAGTTGAAATTGATTGGGCCCTCATTATTAAAACAATGATAGAGATTATGCTTATCCTAATGTAGGTATCATCTATGGTCAATTTTAGCTAAGCATGCTCCCACATTCTGAGGTGAGTAGTTATAACTTATAAGTGTTCTTTTTTTTTTTTCTTTTCAATCCAAAATTTCTTAATTAATTCATGAAGTTTATTTTGATCTCTTTATGAGAAATTTTAACTATCAACCAATATATATTTATTTTAAGCTTCGTTTGGGACGACCGTTTTACTTTTTTTTTAAAGTAGATTTTTAGTATAATTTTTTTGGAACGAGGTATCCACCCACTGTCAATCCTGAAAGAGCTTGACGGTGTGACTAATTCTCAGGTGACCTAAAAGAGACATATACTTCAGAAACTCCTTACTCACATTTGATTGGGCTCCACTTAAGAGGCGCTGTTGCTCGAGGGGAATCTAACAGAGGTTGGGGGTCCCCAACTATATTCGTCCACCAACCAAATTAAACAGCAGTGGATTAGAAAGTCATTTTAAAAAATAATAAGAAAGTTTTTCAAATAAAGTCTTAATAATTAAACAGCAGCACGGTCGCTGAAATGGTAGAGCAGATGGCCGCCGACAAATTCTGATCGGTGAGAGTCCAGTGTACATATGAAGGATTTTGAGTGAATGTACCGTCCGATCGTTGTACTTGACTGGGCGGAGGTTGGCTGGTAGGATCAAGAAATTTCTCAAAGCCATTTGCTCTGAAGATCTTTAAGATTGGAGAACGCCATAGTGCGTAGTTGTCCGATGCGAGAGGGAAAGTGACAAAGTTCTTGAGGTTAGAGACGACGAACTTGAGCGTCGCATGAATTAATGGATCACCGGAGGAGGAGGATTCGGTGTGATCAGCAAGATCGGAGGAGTTGGAAGTAGCCATGAGCGTGGATCGTTCACGCTGCTTCTGATACCATGAAGAACCGAGGCAGAGAAACAAGAATAAAGAATGAAGAATGAGTAGGAAAAGTATTTATGTATATCTCTATTAGACGGTACAAGCATAGGTATATATAGAGTAAGTAGCAGATATGAGATAGACATATTTACAGTTATTGCCATATATAAATATAAGAGTAAATACAACTGTAATTATTTATGGTGCTCTGATAAGCTTAATCTAATTGATAGTTAAAAGCTACTGATCATCAACCATCAGATCAAACCGAAGTGAGCTGCGTGCGTGTTGTGCAATTATTAGGTACGGAGTACGGACGGGAAGAACCGTCCGCACACTAGTATAAAATCGCGCTCGGTACCACTCGGTATCACTAGGTACCGCTTGGTATCCTGTATCTGTGCGGACGGTTCTCACCGATCCGCACTCCGCACCTAATAAAATTTCGTGTTTGTAAGTGTTGTTAGTGACTGGAGTGTTAATTGTATTCATTAGCGAACACATTTATGTACAAACACTGCTCAAATGAGTCACATCTCTGTCGTTTATCGTCCTCCCTTCGTCATTGAATTCTGTCATTTAGCACAGAACAGTAACCCTAACGCCAGTTGTCGGTTTTACAGAGGTAAAAGACTTCCTCTTTCTTTAGTTTATAATCAAAACCGCATGCTTTTTCGCCAATCCTCCTCACGCACTGAAATGGAAAAGGGCTCAAGCTCTAGGGCCGGTGGCTCAGGGGACGCTTTCAAGGGTCTACAGTTTGGGAGAAAGATCTATTTTGAGGATGGGAGTGGCGGTGAGAGTTCCTCGAAGCCAGTGGCCGCTCCGGCGTTGCCGGAGATGAGGCAGGTGGTGGCGGGGAAGAAGGCAAAAGGGGCAGCACAGGGATTTGGGCAGCCGCTGCCTCCGCCGAGGTGCCAGGTGGAAGGGTGCAATTTGGATCTGAAAGGGGCAAAATCTTATTACTGCAGGCATAAGGTTTGTGGGATCCATTCTAAGTCTCCTAAGGTGATTGTTGCTGGACTTGAACAGAGGTTTTGCCAGCAATGCAGCAGGTTGTAATCCCTTCCTACTCTAACAATCTTTCTTCTTCTTCTTCTTGTTGATTGTTACGTTGTATTCATTCCTGGCATTTTAACCTGCGGTTATTCTTGTTTGTTTTAACCTCTTTTAATGATGTGGTTTCCTGATGATCGTACATGTGGTTGTTTGTCTGTTAGGGTTTTGGTGATTTAAGAATAGTTAATAATGGTTAGAATTCTTCTTTATTATTATTTTTTTTCGTATTTTGGCTTTCATTTTGGGACTGGCAAATCTTTCTTTTTTTTTTTTTGCCTTGTTTTTTTTTCTTCCATATAGCTTGTGTTGAGATTGCGTGGCTCTAACTTGGGCTATTTTTCAAGGTTATGCTACATAGAACCGTGGAGTCGTTTTTTCTCATTTAGTTGTCTAAAGTTCTTGGCTTAGCCTAAATTTTGCATCTGCTGTTACTTTGTAAGGTTTTATTTAGTCGGTTAGATTATGTTCCTGGGATTATGGCTATATATAGTCTTTGTTACATTTGGTTCTACTCTTATATGGTTGGATCTCTTGTAACGCTTATTAGATGCGATCGATCTCTAAGGTTATGCATCTGCACAAACAAGGGCCTCTTCTGCGGATACTTTTTCTGTTGTTCTGTCATGGTGCTTTGTGAGGTTAATGATAATGAAGACATTTACACAGCTATGCAGTTTATCTTGGTCAGGAGCTTTGACTATCAATCAAGAGGTCTTAGGTTCAAATCTTGTTTGTGTGAGTTTAACTTAATTGGCCTAAGGGCATCTCCAACCGAACGCTAAACGAGTGTATGGAGTCGTTTCGTCGCTCCAACTGAACGCGAAAATTTCCGCCATTTAATCGCAGGTGAACGGCGTCGCACTGTTCACTCACACCATTTTTTGCTCTCAACCGGAAAAACGCGCGAAAGGGAGAGCGATCGTTACCTTCTCAAAAACACCTAAAATGACGTTCGATTGGAGCATCACCGCGCCATTTTGGAGTTTTGCGTTACTTTGCCGTGAAAAATGAAGTTTTCGGTTGGAGATGCCCTAAATGTCCCCAAAAAAATAATCAAGATATGTCAGCCTCATATGAATCTTTTCGCAGATTTTACTTTATCAGTGCATGTTATATCACTGAGGACAAGGTGTATTATTTTACTTGAGCTGTTATGTTGGGATATTAAGGAGATTATGAAAGCTTGAAGAAATATGAAGAAAGAACCATTAAATGAAAACTTTTTTTTTGAAATGGGGTATCCACCCGCAGCCACCCCTGAAAGGGCGCTTGGCGGCTGATTAATCATCGTCTGACCTAGAAGAGACACCCACCCCAGAAACCTCCTGGCCCGCACTTAATTGGACCTCACTTAATAGGTGCTGCTGCTCGAGGGGAATCGAGCACGGGTTCGGGGGTTCCCAATCGTACTCGCCCACCAACCAAGCTAAGCATCGGTGGGTATTAAAAGAATTTAGAGCCTGCCTTGGTCTTGCCTATAACATGAAACTGAACCTAGTGGAGCTGAAAGCATCAACGGAGTTAAGTAGAATAGGCAAAAGATTGGTTAAATGGACATGTGATAGCATAACTGGATTTCTGATAAATTTAGTGAAGTTTTATTGCAGATGATGTCTGACAAATGATCTTATTTGATTACTATATAATTATTTTTTATTGCATTTTATAGTATTGACACTTTCTATTTTAAGGCGCCACCTCCACATGGACCACATGTCAGAGGTTGTTATACGCCTCTCCTCACCTTTTCCTTTTGATACTTATGCTGGGTTGCAAGGACAAAAAGATACAGGATATACAATGTATTGAGGACTCTCTTTAGTTTTAGCTGCTTCCGCAATTATTTTTGAATCAGGGGTATTCTTAAGTTAAATTTTAGTTGCTTGGAGGGAAAACGTCACTCTTCCATTTTGAAATGAATGCGGTGAACTTCTGATTGAACCTTCAACATTCAAATTCAATAAAACCTGCCAAACAAGTTGTTTTTTATCTTATTTCACATGTTTTTCCACCACTTTTCTCTGGTTGTTTGATGAATCGCGGTAAAACTTGGGCTAAAAATTTGCTTTTTCTCGAGTAAAGAAACCGCCTATTTCATGAGTGGAATGAATGCAATAAATATATGTGATGGAAGCTTCAACATACAAGTTCATTGAAACGTGAAAACACTTGAAAGGCACCAGCATCTACCTTTGGGAATCTATTGATTAGTTCATACAATTGCAATATGTTTGAAAGATTTTGGATTTGGGTTTACTAATTAAAGTTCAATGTGTTGGGAAGTAAATCAAGCAACGAAACAAACAAGAAAAAAAAAATAACAAAAATGAACATAAGGACTTAACATGGAAAAACCATAAACTAGGAAAAAACCACAGAGCCACACAACACCAAGAAATTCACTATGAAAATTGGGAGAAGTTATACAAATCTCTCTTCTCACACTCTCTTATTGTCTCTCTTCACTTTTATCTTCGTTTTTCACTCAAAATAGTCAAAGAGACGATTTTCAATGCACCAAATGATGCAATCTTTCAAGTGAAATATTAAAAATGAGAAAGAAAACTACCCAGCCCAACTTGCAGCGCCGCGGTGCTGAGGTTGGGTGCGTCGCGACGCTTCACTATCTCTTTCTGAGTCCACCCTAAAGTGTCGTGGCACTGCAGCCCACATCACCGCATCGCTCTGTTCTCTGTCTCCAAATAGAAACTACAACGCCGCAACATTGTACGAATTTTTTTCCTAGGATAAGGCCTCTAAACTCCAAGCAGGAGGAGCGTTTTCCTCCTGCAATCCATTGACGAGCTCGACCGAATGTATTGAGGTATAAGACAATAGCACAACCGGATTGATCGATACAATTAGATTACACATGAAACTAACATAATGTGCTCCATTCAACTCTTTCTAAAACTTAATTACAATGTGGTGTGGCCAAACTCGAATTAGGCATGATCCCCAAAAACATTGAACAACCTATGAAGCAACTAGACCCAAATATTTAACTTTCTTTCAAAGTTCCCTAACAAGTTATAGAAATTTAATTATATATTAAGTCATAAAAGACCAATTAGATGCCAAATACATACTCAATTTTCATATCATCAATCACTAACAACTTTATAAACCATACTTAGGGAATTGATACAAAATATCCTAATATTTGTTATAACACAAAATAAATCTGAAATGTTTCACTTTGAAGAACCCACATAAATTCACTGAATTAATTTTTACTATTCAATGCACTAAAATATATCATCTAGTAGATATGTCCACAAAACTAAATTTCATAAATCATATCCGCTACTTGCATCATTTTATATTAATCAATCAGATCCATATTTTATTATGGAGGTCAACCTTAGAGTCTAAAGGTTTTCACTTGAGTAGATCTAAAACTGAATATATGGAGTATAATTTTAGTAGTAAAAGACCTAGTGCAGGGATTGTGACTTTGGGTGATCAAGTCATTAATAAGAGTGCACGTTTTAGATATCTTGGATCTATCGTTAAGAGTGATGGTGAAATAGATGGGGATATTATCAGTACAATTCAAATTGGATGGTTGAAGTGGAGGAATGCATCGGGCTTATTGTGTGATAAAAAAGTCCTCCTCAAACTTAAGGGAAAGTTCTATAAGATGGTGGTGAGACCTACAATGCTTTATGGTGCCAAATGTTGGCCATTAAAAGAGAAGCATAATATTAATTTAAGTGTTGTAGAGATGAGGATGCTCAGGTGAATGAGTGGCTTTACCCTTAGAGATAGGATACGAAATGAGCATTTACGTGAAAAGGTTGGAGCAGCTCCAGTGGAAGATAAGATTAGAGAGAGTCACCTTAGATGGTTTGGTCACATAAAACAACGGCCTTCACGATGACCCATTTAGGAAAGTAGAGGTATTAGATTTGACTTATGTTAAGAAAGGTAGAGGTAGACCAAAAATACTTGGTTAAAAAATATTAGAAATGATTTTTCTTTATTAGATTTAAATGAGAATTTGACTTTTAATAGGATACAATGGAGACAAAGGATTCATGTAGCTGACCCCACGTAGTGGGGCAAAGGCTTGTTATTGTTGTATACATATTTTATTACATCCATGTTTGAAATTGCTAAACTTGTATTGAGGCATTTTCTTTTCGTGAGAAGAGGCATAAGCATCATGACATTTTCAGTGAACTGCTAAACTGTTAAATTAATGAAAAATATGAAATTATAGGTAACATACTAATAGCTTAGTAAAATGTTAAATTAAGATCATAAAAAGTTAAATCAAAGTAAAGCCATTAACAGCCTTATAAGGCTACAAACAATGCTAAATAAATAGTATCTCTCTCTTCTTGTTCAACATAAACAAATAGTCTAGGTCATAATTTTTGAATTTAAAAGTTCTCCACTAACATCACTTAGAGGGTCTTCGTTAAAATTAATATTATAATTAATTGCTTTCTCTCCTCTCATACCAAAAAAACAAAGAAATAGGTCTCCAACAACAAGAAGAGAGGCGTTGGAGGAGAAATGACGGCGATGCAATAGTGACAATAATGCAACAAGATCGAGTGTGGGCGTGAGGGTCTTATGGAGTGTGATTGTGAGTTTGGTGCTGTTCTTGTCAAGTTTCGTTTGATTTAGGTGTAGTAAATAGGTTTAATTATACACACACATACATACACGTACATAGACATACATTTATATGTAATTTATAAATTACTTAAACTTTAAAATTTCAAGCTAACACCTCTTTAAATTCCCGTTAAAATTATGCTGAGTATCTTGAGGCATATCTTACCCCAATTGAGGTGTAAGCCTCATCTAGCATTTGTGAGGCGTATGCCTCGTTGCTTTGTTTTAAATTATAATAAGGCGTATGCCAGTCTCTAATTATGCAATTTTGAACAATGCATCTATCATAGATTCTATATATTCCACCGTACTAGCCATCGCGATCATCCATTGCAACAACCTTTCAGTAAAAAGATAGTATTAAAAA